CTTAATCAGAAGATAACAAGATAGATTTCTTAAATTATGTATTTTAAAATCAGCTAAAATAATTATAATATAGTATTACTGTATTAGCTAAAATTAATCCCAAAATTACTATATTATCTGACATGATATTTTTTATAATAAAAAGTACAATAAAGAGCATCAATATATAGTCAACTTCTTAGTAATAAAGTATTTAATAATCCAATAACTACAGAATTCAAAAGCAATCATAAGTATATAATTTGTAATAAAAAAAGTAATAATTAGATTATATTATTATATATATTTACAATTAAATTATTTAATTACATAATAACAATATAATAGATAGAAAAAAAGCAAAAAAATATAATAAAAATAAACAGCAAAAATTGTTATAATTAGATTATAAAATTAAATTATATTAATCTTTATGTATATTATTACCTCTAATTTTTTTTATTATGATAGTTATATTAAAAATTATGGTGTAATATAATTATTAAATATAGAGTATTAGAACTTATATATATAGATTAAATTGGTTAAAATTAATTTTTTTAGTAAAATTAATAATTTTCGAATTCATAATTCTGGCCAAAGTTTCTTAATTTTGGCCAAAATCATAATTCAGACCTAAATTTGAATAAAATTAAAAAATGTAGGTCAAATATAATATGCATTTATGTAATAACATTTTAACTATTATTAATTAGTTTAAAAAGTTAAAAAATTAAGTAAATTCAAGTTGGATTTTGTTGTAAAAATCCATTTATTTTTACTATTAAAATATCATTAAAAATAAAATATCTCACTATCTAGTGATTATAAAAAGATAAATAATAGCTTGTTAGAATCATCTTATTAAGGCAATTTTAATGGTAATAAAAGCATATTTCTATCATCAATAAATGATGAGTTAGTGTTATGAAGAAGAATATATAATTTTTTATTATATAGTAATGATAAGAAGATGAATAATAGCTTATTAGAATTATCTTATTAAGGCAGTTCTAATGCTGCTAAAATCGTATTTCTAATATCAATAAATAATAAGTTAATATTATCAAAATAAACATATTTTTGTATTTAATAAGCTATTATTTGTCCTTTTACCATCATTAGATAGTGAAAAATTACATATTCTTTTTTAGAAAACTAACTCATTATTTATTGATGATAAAATTTTGATCTCATCAGTTATCACCATTAGAATCACTTTAATAAGATAATTTTATCAAGCTACTATCAAGCTATTATTCATCTTTTTATAATCACTAGATGGCAAGATATTTCATCTTTAATGGTATTTATAAGTAAAAATAGATGGTTTTTATGACTTGAATTTATTTACTAATTTTTTAACTTTTAAAACTAATTAAAATGTTGGTTAAGTCCTCAAAAATATTTTGAATAATAATAATAGGTAAAGTATTATATTATATAAATGTAATTTTATATTTGATTTACATTTTTTAATTTTAATTAAATTTAAGCCAGAATTATGATTTTGGCCAGAATTAAGAAAATTTTGGCTAGAATTATAAATTCGAAATCATTGATTTATACTTAAAAATTAACTTTTAGTTAAATTTGATCTATATATATAAGTACTATAATTTTTAATATAGTAGCTATTATAATTAGAGGTAATATTTGTGATAATTGATATAGTTATATAACTTATATTTAGGTTATTAAATTTAAAATTATTTAATTATATTTAGAATAATCATAAGTAAGTTATTTAGTTATATACAAATTATATAATTATTATAAGTAAATTATTTAAGAGAAGTGTATAATTACATGTTTTATAATAAGATTATCAATGGTACAAAAATTTAAAATATAAAGGCCAAAAACAAAATACAATTAGTTTGAATAATTTTATATTATTTTTAAGGTTGCTTGCCGAAACCTAGGGGTTTAGGCAAGATGGCGGTTTGCCGAAAAGCGAAATTCTGCCAAAACTATATTAAAGTTATATTAAAAAACTGGCGAAACTTTGGAGAAAGGTGAAACTGCCGAAACTTATTATAAATGCCGAAACTGCTGAAACTCTGCCGAAACTATAATAAATCTATAGTAAAATTTTGACGAAACTAATCATAGGATTTTGAAGAGGTTTAGACAAGCAACCTTAATTATTTTATTATTATTTTTGTAAAGACGTAAAAATATATCTATAAAATACAAATATATTAAATTAATAAATGATAAAATACTTTTTGTTAACAAAAAATAATATTATGTTTTCCAGTAGAGAAATTTTAAACTTTTACCAAACGATTCGCAATTTTTTTAAAACTTCCTTTGATATTTTCTCCAAAATATAATATTTAAGTCTAAATAAAAACTATATCTGGTGAATTTTCAGATTCCAAAAAGTAAGAAAATAATATATATTTTTTAATATTTAGTAATTTACAAATATTTTATTAGACATAAATGTATTGAATAATACAAAAAATTTTTTGTATTATGATAGTTAATTAAAAGTCATATAATTACATTCTCCTTTTAATTATAGTTAAGTTATTTTATAACTAAATAATTTAATCTAAGTTAATTATAACTAAATAATATAACATATTATATACATGCCATCCAAATTATTTTGGACTGCCGTAATTATAAGTAAAATCCCAAATTCAATTATGGCATCCCAAATTATTTTGGCACTTTACATAGTAAATTATATATAAACCGAATGAATTATGACATCCTAAAATAATTTGGGCAGCATGTATAACATATTATTTAATTATAATTAGTTATATTTAAATATAAATTTATTATTTTAAATAAAATGGATAATTTTTTTTATAAGATCTTTACTACCTAAATTTTAATATTAAAGCATAATATTATTTTACAGTATTTTTATATTAAAATTAATATAATAAAATTAATGTATAATTTCATTATTATTTAATTATATTATTTTTATATTATTCAATCTGTATTTTTTATTATTATTAAAAATGTGATTGTAACTAGATCTTATTAATTACAATCTGCAATTTGTAACCACAACATTATATTTTTTATATAATTATAATTATATAATTATGCAACCATTTGAAAAATAGTTAAAGCATCAATTTTATATATAAATATTTTATTATATATAGGAATTAGATTTGAAATTTATAAATTATATAAAAATAAAATTAACTTTTATTTGATAAAAATTATGTAATACTTTTAAATATTATATTTTATTAAAATCAAATTATTTTTTTTTACAAGTTTAAAAAATAATTTCATTTTAAAAACTTATAATTTATAACAGGATTTTAGATAAATATCTAATATATAATTTATGTCTAATTTTAATTCTATATTAAAATTAATACCTTTTACTTTTTTAGTTTTTTGCAATTAATCAATTATTTTAAAATCTAGTAAATAGATTTAAATAAACATTTTTTTATTTAATAGAATTTATTATTAATAGTTATAATTTAAAAAAATTGGCCAAAATAAACTAAAAACTGATTTTTAAATTTTTAAATAAATTTGACTAAATTTACATATTTTTTATTAGAAGTCAAATTATAACTTGTTTTAAATATATCCAGAATCCTTCTATAACTTTTTGTTTTTTAAAATATTAAAAAGTATTATTAAAATTTAGTTTTTGTCTTTTTAAAATTTGAAAAGTATTAGTATTATTATATTATATTTATCATTTTTTCTACAATTTTACTAATATAAATGTATTATTTTCCATTAAATAGTTACAGTTTTTATTTTTAATTTTTTTTAACAAAAATATATAATTAACTGTTAATAAGTATTTTTACAAAATATATTAAAAGTTAATCTGATTTTACAAAAATATAATTAAAATTAAGCTTAATTTCAAATTAATTATAACTGAAATTTTGTGTAAAATTTTAATCTTACAAAATTAGGAACTAGATATATAAAAATTACAAGTTTTAATAATTAGTTACTTTAAAAGATAAATAAACTTGTATAAATTTATAATATAAAGATTTTGATTGGATTTTTACTTATAAATACACTATGTATTATTAACATGCATTTATATCATTTTAATACTAAAAAAAGTAAAAATTTTATTTTGATATTACATAAAATTTTAGCCTGCATTAAGAAATCTAGCCAGCATTAAGAAATTTAATTAGCAAATATAATTCTAATCTGAATTCCATGTGAATTAGTAAAATTAAAATGCAGTCGGGTATTTCAAGGTAGCATTTTTCTTAATAGCGTCTGTCATTATTTTAATATAATATATAAAGCACATATGAAATTATACTTCCAGCCAAAAAGTTTAAGACCACCCTATTTTTAATAATATTAAATAGAAATTCATTAGTAATTATATAATTTTTTTAAAAAAATTTCTTTGTATTGGAATTTTCTAAAATCATTGTATTGACATTTCTGTGAATTTCTAACTCTTTAACCAGAGTGGTTTCAATAAAATAATAGGTTAACTAAAATAAGGGTATGTTCCAAATTTCATAAAGATTGGATCAGTAGTTATCAAGAAATGAGTTGATATTTGATAATGTAAATCATTACTTTTTATCCCACGGTTCCTAGTTTTTTTTCTTGGTATTCTCACGGGTGATGTTTATTTAAAAAGATGGGTAAAAAATCTATCAATATTGGAATAAAAAGTTTATCACTATTAGTCAAAATAAGTATATTAAAGGGCTTTATGGTACGGATACCAAGAGATGATCACGGAGCTGGAATATCATGATTTCACGGCGCAGCCGTGAAAATCATCAGTTCTAACTATTACATACAAAATTGGTGATTTTTTAATAGCCGATTTCTTGATAACTACTTATCCGATCTTTATGAAATTTGGAATATAACCTTATTTTTAGTTAACCTATTAAAATTTTACTGATTAAAGAATTAGAAACTTTTTGGCTGGGAGTAGGTTGCGCATATGAATTTTATTAATGATACGCGCTTTGCGCGCATAAGAATTTTTTTGAAATTTTTTGAATTTATAACACTAATAAACGCTAATCTCATCTCAATCCTGCCATTATTGCCTATTGTGATTGGTCCACAAAATAGGGTGATTGATTCTATTTTACCGATAAATTATAATAAACTGCGGAACGCTTTTATTAAATCAAGTTTATATATTTATAAAAACAGTAGGACAAACCCAAATTAATGTTCGAGATTACACATAAAAAATAAAAAAAAAATCCACTATCATGCATACATTTACATTTTTCAGATTTTAATTTCCTCAGCTCACTTCGTAATATTGTATATCAAAATATTTTTCTGTTAATTAAATATAAAATTTTTAGTAAAGAGTTTAAACATTTGATCTATACATTATCTTGAACTTACTGCAAATCGATGATTTTCCACGTTTAATAACTCTTATTTTTGGGATAACAGTTCTTGCTTCTTCAAGCATTTCTTCGCTAAAATTTGTATGATCATAACTTTGATCATATATAAATTCTTTTAAACTTTCAACTCTTTTTGCGTAATCTATTACAGTCATTAACACATAATCATGATTCGAATTTTCTAATATAGCTAGTTGATTTAATGGAACTCTTAAATTCTCAAAAAAAAATTTAAAGTCTTTTTTGTTCATTCTGAAATCTAAACCAAAATAACGTAAAGTTATTGGTATAGATTTCACCAACTTCATTATTGAAGATGTTGTAAATCCTAACGCGGTATTAGTAGTGTTAAATGAATTATAATTGTGAAAATTTGGTATTATAGATAATATTAAATTTTCTAATGGCATAGAAGGAAGAGATTTGGTTAGATCAAGAAGAAGTTCTTCATAAATTTTTAGTGATAAATAATTTAAATGTGGAAAGTATTCTCTCATATCTTGAAGTAATTCTTTTGTTACGTGACCTAACCAAAGCATTCTAAGATTTCGACCACATATTCTCAGAAATAATCCGACGGTTGTCAAATTCGAATGGCTTGGGCTATATCCATCACAATAAAGATTTTTGATACTTTCAATTCTAAATCCAGGATATTTTAAATTGAATAGGGAATCGTTATCAATCTCGCCAAACTCCCATAATTGCAAAGTTTCTAAATTATTACAATTTTGCAAGACGGTCAATAATTGTTCAACATCTGCTAATCCCTCAATTCTTAAATGATTTAAATAATTCGAATGAGAATCGATTGCAGAATAAATTTTTGAACAAGGGTGATTATCCCAATATTGTGTTATTGTAAAAGAAGTGAGCTTTGTTTGTGATTTAATTAATTTCGTTATTGCTTGAGTAATTTCAAGTGTTTCATCTTGAGGTTGAAGAAGAATTGATAATTTTTTAATCGTATTTATATGTTGTGCAAAATTTGTGAAAAGTTGACATATCCCTTGAGAAAATACACCTGAAAATTCGAATACCTGCAGCCTCGATAAAGCTTGGCTTAATCTAGGGAAAATAGTATAATCAATATCTATAGAGTTAAGGTCTGAAGAGCTGCTTATTATTTCCACGCAGGTAAAACCCTTTGTACGATTAATAAGAAGATTTGTAATAATTTTACAAAGTAATTTTCTAATTTTACGTTTCTTATTTTTCATGTCCGTTCGTTCAACTTTTTCTTCAGTTGAAGTGAATTTTTCAACCGCGTCTTGAATATGTTGATTATTAAATATTTCAAGATATTTTGGATAATCTCTTGGAGTTGATAAACTTTCATTTTCAATTTGAAAATTAATTAACTGTTGTTTTTCTTCTTCGCAAAGGCAAGAAATATACGTTCGAAGGATGAGTTTATGTTTATTTGGATTTGTTTCAAGTTCAAAAGGTGAACTCCAAAGATATGGAATAACATGTTGACAAAATAATCGATTAACCAAAAGGCATGAGAAGAGTGCTTCTTTATTATCTTTTAAATAATCTAGAATTAGATTAAGACAATTATTAAAAACAATTAATTGTAAATAATGATTTTTTGCCATTTTATTCTTTTTTTAATGGAATTTTTTTCTAAAAGGTGTTAATTAAAATATTTTTCATGTAAATCAATCGTCCTCCAAACTATCCAATTTCATACATTCCGACGCAGAAAATTTTTTATCCGATTTATACTTGTGAAAAGAAATCCGAGATAGGGAATCATCTTTATCAATTTTTTAATCACAAGCGGCTGCCTTATCTTCTAAGATAACATCAATTTCCACTTACAGCGAACAGTGTCGCAAATGTGTCGTTCTTGACCCACCACGCGGTGCTGACTTAACCCGCATAATATATTTTACAATAAGGGCTCAAGATGATGCCACCAGAAGGGTCAAGTCCGATACTTTTGCAACAATGTCAGATTGCGTAATCGCATTTGCATTTCATCTTGCAGTGTTTCACAAATCTCGGATTTTTCGAGACAAATTTTCTAAAATGGAGTCAAATAAAGGTATTCATGAACGAATGAATGTTGAACAAAAAAAAAAAAGTATTCTCAACGTAATTTTTTTTTAAAAAGAATCACCTTCCCGACGTCCTAAACATTTCGTCAATGATCCAAATAAAGTATTATAAGTTTATAACTAATTATTCAATTACCTAATAAAAAAAAAATGTGGAATAAACCTAACTTAAATCTTTTGTAATTTAAGATTGTAATTGAATCACTTCGAGGACTTTGTTTGTCTTATCCTTCTCTGAGATTTATTGAAAAGGAAAAGAGTAAATACATAAATAAATTCTTAGAATGGGTTATCATAAATATTGTAAAAAAAAAAGGAAGGAAGAAAAAAATTAAAATAATCATTTTCAATATTAAGTTGTTTATAGGGCTGATATTGATGATATTAGAAAAAAGCAAGTCACTTTGATTTCTGGAGGTAGGTTTTCTAATCAATTATTTATGGAATATAGATACAAATTTAATTTATATCAATATTTTTTCTTATCATAGGTGGAGCCGGTCATGAACCAGCGCATGTAAAAAAAAAATTTACACTAATTCCTTTGAATGCTAAAATTTTTGCTCACTGTTATATTATTTTAGGTTGCTTTTGTAGGACCTAATCTTTTATCAGCTGCAGTATCAGGAAATATTTTCGCATCACCATCAACTTCGCAAATTTTAGCAGCAATTCGTCGTGTGCAATCCCCTCATGGTACACTATTAATTGTAAAAAATTATACTGGAGATTGTTTAAATTTCGGCTTAGCAGCAGAAAAAGCAAAAGCCGAAGGAATAAAAGTTGAAATTGTAATTGTTGGAGATGATGTTGGAGTTGGGAGACAACAAAGCGGGTTAGTTGGTAGAAGAGGCCTAGCTGGTACAATTTTTGTACATAAAATTGCAGGTGCTATGGCCGCAAAAAGGTAGGAACTGTTATTTATATCTTTATATTTCATTTTATTTTATATTGAAAAATTTGTATTATTTAGGGCAAGCCTTAAAGAAGTTAAGAATGCAGCACTTCTTGTTGCCGAAAATATTGGAACCATTGGTGTTACATTCGATCGATGTACAATTCCAGGAACAACTAAAAGTTCTTTTTTACCTGATGATGAGATCGAATTGGGAATGGGTATTCATGGTGAACCCGGATTTCAAAAGATATCGCTTCCTCCATCTAGTGAACTTGTGCAAAAGATGTTAGATACTATTATCAATACCAATGATGAAGATAGATCTTTTTTGGATATCAACCCCGAAAAAGATAAGATTGCTTTATTAGTTAATAATCTTGGTGGTATTTCTGCACTTGAGCTTGGAGTAGTACTAAATGATGCTTTTAATTATCTAGGTTGGTTTGGTGTTTAATTTTGATTTACAATTTTTTTTTTTTAACTTATGCTCTGATTTTTATTTCTGTTTATTTCTTTTTAGTTAAAAAGAATTTCTATGTAAGAAGGGTTTATGTTGGACATTATATGACATCACTTAATATGCCTGGGGTTTCTTTATCTATTTTAAAGTTACCAAAGAATTTGGATGTAGTTCCTTTATTGGATATAAAAGCTGAAACTCCAGGTTGGGTTAATCATTCAAAAGTTGATATTTCAAATTTGGATGTTAGTTTAGATGAAAAAGTTTCTTTCAAAGAAAAGGAAGAAGACCTTTTTGTTGTCAATGGTAAATTTTAAACTTTTCCTTTGTTATAATTTAATTTAAGTTGATTAATTAATTAATTTAATTATTATTATTAGTAAATTCACAGTTATTTGAATCTACGATTAAAGCAGCTTGTAATGCTCTTATTCAAGCTGAACCAGAAATAACAAAATATGATACAATTGTAGGAGATGGAGATTGTGGGTTGACTTTGAAATATGGAGCAACAGGTTTTACCAAAACATTTTTTTTATTTAAATCGTTTAATTAATATAATATTTCAATCAGTAACCTTCATTATATAATATAGATATTCTAAAAGCATTGGAAGAAAAACAAATCATGACTAATGATCTTTCGGGAGGTTTAATGAAAATTAGCAATATCTTAGAAAGAGGTGGGACTATTGGTTTTCTATACTGGTAATTCAATAAACCTAATTAAATATATTATTAATATTATAATTATTACCAATATATTATAATTAATTTTTGGATTGATAGTTTATTTATAGGTGCAATATCAAATAGTTTAAGATATTTTGTTGCAGCTAAGATAGAAGACAATGACAATAAAAAAGATCAAATTTTAGTAGATGGTAAATGTATTGGCGCAAGTTTAAAGGTAATTATTTTTAAAATTATTGATTAATTTATATGTCATTCACTACATTAATCACTTTTAAATATATATTAAGTCTGCATTAAGTACACTTCAAAACTATACGCCAGCAAGAAAGGGAGATCGTACTATGATGGATGTAATAATTCCATTTATAACCTCATTTACAGATATATTATTCTCAACTAATGATGATAATACAATGATAGCATTTAAAGATGCAATAGAAGCTGCAAGAATTGGTGCAGAATCAACAAAAGGAATGAAACCTAAGTTGGGAAGATCAACTTATATTGCTAATAATATTATTAAAGAAGCTCAGGTAAAAATTTCTTTTTTTAATAAGATAGTTTTTTTATGAAAAAAATTTAAAATTTAAATTTTCTTCATTAATATCTGTAGGTTCCTGATCCTGGAGCATGGGCAGCTTATGTTATTCTTAATGGAATTTACGATCATTTAAGTGAATAATTATTGATATTATAATACTTTATTTCTATGTATACTTAACATATATATATTATTAATAAATTATTTTGGGTTAACATATAATATGCGACATATCATATGTTCTATACCATTTGATTAATCACCAATGTTAAAATTTGTAAAATTTATTTTTTAATTATACAACTTAAATCTATATATAAACCGATCAAATTTGCTATGAAACTTTAATATCGTGTTTAATTAAGAGTGTTTTTTTTTTTTGAAAAAAACACGTGAGAAATTAATATCTTATTCATTTATTTATTTCTAGCATATCATTACATGATTTCGTTAACGCCTAGGTAAATTGCAAAGTAGAAAGTAAGACTTATAGTACAATAACAAATACATTTAACATTAGTCAGAGAATTAACGTTCGTTACCTTCAGTCCATCAATAGCATCATCTTTACCAAAACCTTCTTTTGGAATTCTACCATATACTAAATCACTTAATTCATTTTTGGAACTAATAAAGAATAATTATTATTAATGATAATAATTAAATATTTCGAAATAAAATAAATACTTACTTTTCTATCCCCTCGAATAATTCGTTAAAATCCTCATTCATCCTATAGATTTCATATGTCATATGTCTCTTAGCTTTAGATAAGATAGAAATAGCTTGTTTTAACGAGAGTCGATTATCTTCAAACTTTCATCAAAAAAAAAATTGTTAACAATATTAATTAATGTCTTTTTGAAAAAATTCGTAGAAATTTGCGGTACATCTTCACCTCATCATATGGTTCATCTATATCATCGTCAACTTCCATATTATCTTCAAGATTTTCCCATTGTTCAGGTTTTCTACATTCCTCAATTATATTTGCCTTTACAGTTTCTCTAATTGTATTACGCTCTAATTGAAATTCTCTATATAATGTCTTTATAAGAGGATTGTTTCTATAAAATATAACAAAGATATTTGTTAATTTAATTAAATAAAATACTTAAATTGTGAAATTGATTATTTACCTATATGTTACAGGAAAAAGGTTAGTGAACTGTTTGAGAGATAAATTATCTGCAAGTTCACTATTAAGTAAGAAGGAAGTGAGAACTGATTCTTCAGTTATCATACTAATAACTTAGGATTACAAATAAAAAAACGCGTAAGAGTTGAAATGGCAAAATGACAAGGAGAGAGAGAAAGAAGTTTTTCCATTGATTGATTAAAATTATATAACCTCAAGATTTCAAAATTTAAACGCGTCAATCAGATGACGTATACTCTAGGATATAAAAATATAGTCGTTTTTATAAGCTAACCCAAATTATTATAAAATCTTTTTTCGCGTTCTTATAATTAATTTCGATATTTACAAAAAATAATTTTTAAGCCATTCACTGTATTTACAATAAAATATTTTAAGATTTCATAAATAATAATCTTTATTATCTATAGACACCCCAAGTCCCCAACAGTATAGTACAAAATGGAAGGCACTAAAAAGAGGGTACGAAATTCTCTCACAAATCATGGGTGGTAACGAAAAGGCCTTCCCATTACAAGCCTGAACAGTTTGATCGGGCGTGTTTTAATGAAATGTATGATGAATTTTGGATGCAAATGGGTAACCGTTCCCCGGAAATACAGCACCTAATTGATACTAAACGTAACCATACTCGAAGAAGAGTGTTATTGCGCATTCCCTGGAGAATAAAGGTTAGTAGAGGAGAGATAAGATAGGGAAAGACATAAACTTCAAGTACCGTGGAAGATTTTGTACAATATAATGATGACGAGACCGTTAATTAACGAGTATGATGGTTTAAAAAATCAGGAAGTTAGCGGTGGTAATGGAAGTACACATCGAATATTATACTGGGGTGAACCAAGCATGTTCCCTTCAAACATTTTTTTTTTATTTTAAAAATTGACAATGACGGGAGTTATACAAACTTGGGAGCTAGGCCCTTACAAAAGGAACAACTACACTACACCTATATTAGTATTAACCCAACCATCGAAACAGTCACCCTGCCTGATGTTCCCTTCAAACATACGATGAATTAACATGGATGCCATATGGCATGAGAAGATCACATGTTATGAAGAAAAAGACATTTAGACATTTAGAATTATATTCTAGAAAAAATATTAATTCCGGATTCCAAATAATCAAACCTTAACTATGAAAAGGGAATTTTTTTTTAATGTACGCGTGGTATTATTTATTAATGGAATTTTTGAAAAGTGAAATATTTTTTTCAAATATTTAAACTTTTATTTCATATAGCAGAAAAAGCAAAAAGCGGGAGTATCTGAGTAGTCCCATACTTGCCGAACAGCTGCTTATTATAAATGAAAGTTTTGTACAGAAAAAAACGCGTTTATACGTGTTGCAAAAGGTGCGCGCGTATAACGCGTAAAAATCAGATCTGTATCGTCAGAATATTACGATATTTATTTTTTTTTTACACCATTTCACACTAAAATACATGGATTGCATTGAATAAACCATCTTTTAAAGATCTACTTCAGCATGAGTCTCGTGCTTACATAGTATTTTCTGCTCTCATTCATTTGAATGCTAGAACCCCAACATCGCATGTAACAGGTTTGATGTATTTGAGTGACTTAGAAGAAAAAAAATTAAATATATAGTATAGTAATAATCAACACATCTCTCGCATCTCTCACACCTCTCACTTAACATAATGACTAAAATTAAAAGGTTTAACATCACAATCAACAGTTTCATCAATATTAGTTTCACTTTCATATAATCTTCTTTCCATAAATTTAACTTGTTTTAAGTGATTAAATTCTTTAGAATAATCAACAATTACTTTTAAATGATCTAAATCATTATGATTAAAGTACATTAATTTTAAAGTATGTAATTGAATTTTAGCACATTCCTTAAGAAAGAAATTTAATTGATGAGGAGTAATATAAAAATTAAGAACTAAATATGTTAAAGATTTTGGTAAAATATTTGCGAATAATTGTAATCTTTCATCGCGATATTTTGGCCAACCATTTTCTAATTCTAAAGTAAAATATTTAAGAAATTCCAAACCACTAATTAAATGTATTAAATTTAATATATGATTTGAATTCATTAAAATATTTAAACATGTTATATTTGGACAATAAAATTCCATCGTATCTATTATTTCTTCAGTTATATATTTTGAAGAAAATGATTTGAAATTTCTTGATGACATTTTAAGAATTGTTTTAATAAAATTTTCATTTCCAATTATATCATGATAATAAAAATATTTAATAGAAATTTCTTGATTTGTAATAATTTCATCATCTATATTGAATAATTTTTCATTATTTCCTTGTTGAGTAATTTCTAATGTTTCTAAATTCTTACAAGCTAATATTATTTTCATTAATAAAGAATAATCATTGATTACACAAAATCCCAAATATTTCAAAGAATTTGAATGAGTTGATGATATTGCGTCATATATTGACGTATTCTCATAACTTAAACAATATTCATTCATCACCAAACTTTTTAACTCAGATTGTGATTTAATTAGTGATGAAATAGAATTATCAAGTGATTGATAAAAATTATATTTTCCTTTATATATAATAAAGGATAAATGATGAATGTTATTACAAGATTTTGAAATTTTATCAAATAAATTAATTATGAAATTTGTATGTTCATTTATATAAATTTGAATTTCAAATCTTGTAAGTTTTGTAAGAGATTGTTGAAATTTTATTGAAGAATTAATATCTTCAATTAATTTATAATCATTTTGATTATTATATTGATCATTAAAATGTAATTCTAAAATTTTTAATCTATCAAATCGATGAAATATCATATTTCCTATAAGATGAAGGATTAATGTAATATTTGAATTAAATAATTGTTTAACATAATTAATAAAATTTTCTGAATTAAAGCAAATTATAAATTTAGGATAATTAAATAATGGTGTTATATTTTTAAAAGAATATTCAAATAATCTTATATCATCTAAAATTTGTTTTTCATTTTGTGGTAAACAATTTAATAATGTTTTAATAAGTAAATCTCCTTTTGGATTGGAATATTCAAATGGATTATACCATAAATATGGCATTGCTATATGACACCATAATTTATTCACTTGAATACATTTGAATAATGTTGATCGATCATTTTTTAAATGATTAAATATTAAATGAAGACAGTCAGGAAATGTTTGAAGTTTAATATATTTCTTCTTTTCTTCTTCTCGTCTTCCTTCAATTTTATTTTTTTTCTTTAAAAAAAATAAATATTGATTGAAATATTTGTTTCTTCGATTCATAATTAATTTTGATTATGAAATAGAAATGCTTTAGAATTTTTACGAATTTTACGAAGGTTTTTTTTTTTTATCGTTCGTTATTAATTTAGAGAAGTTGAAAAAAAGAGAGGAGAAAGATAATTGTTTATTTATTAAAAACAATTCAAAAGGATTTTTTTTATAAACGAAGGAGATCTTATCGATCAGCTTATAATGCTTATAATGTAATCTTCATATTAATGTATTATTGGTCATAAAATCTATAGTAAACAAACAAATAGAATAAAACTAAACTTATTTTGGAATTTATACCGCTTTTTTTTTCTCTAAATTTGGTTTCCTTACATCGAGTTTTTGTATAATAAAGCATATGAAACTCTTATTATGATTAGCCAAACAAAGATGAATTATATAATTGAATTGGTTCTGTATTTATTATATTTATTATTCGGTCAAACTACAATATTAAATAATTAAATAAAATAAAATTAAATCGTTTTAAGAATTCCGAAATTCCGGTTTTATTTTCCTTTAATTGGATGATCAAAAAATTTTTAATCGAAAATAACGGAAATGTAACCAAATTTAAACTAAATAAGTAATTTTAAAATATAATTAACAAGGTATAATTTTTTTTTAATTTTTTATATATTTTAGTTGAAATAATGAAATAATTTTATTTATCCTAATATGTTAGAAATAAAAAAAAATATACATATATATAAAATATATAAAATATAAAGTTACAATCAATATAATATTATATTATAATTGAATATTATTTTTCCTACAATACTCAATAGCTTGCGCATGCTGTTTATATGCTGCCAATTTCATGTATTTTTCTCCTAATTTAGGATCTTTTTTACCGGCACCACCAGAAAAATATAAACTAGCAGCATTAAACATACCAACAACTTGTCCATTTTCAGCTGCTTTAGTAAAATAAATTGCTGCTTCTTTTAAATTCTTTTTAACTCCGATCCCCTTAATTAAACAATTACCATAACGTAATTGAGCTTCAGGATATTCATCACCTGAATCTGCTACTTCTTTAAATAAATTCGCTATTAATTGATCTTTCTCATTTGCATCCATATCATCAACTTCAAAATATTTTTGTTGAATATAATATGCTTTAAAATATTTCGCTTTCATATCTCCTAATTCTGAATATGCATCAAAACATCTATAAGCTAATTCCCGATTTCCATCAGGGAGTTTATGTTGCTTTGCTGCTTCATCTACTGTCATATAATTAAAATCTGAGAAATTTGGTAATATCATAATATCATCTTCTTCTTCCTCTGATAGTTTAAAACTATCAATAGTTCCTTGACGCCTTAAAGAAGGAGAATTAGAACCAGAAGAATTTATACGAGGTGATGGTGGTGGTCTACTTTTTTTCGAAAAAAGTTCTTGTAATACGGTAAATATCCTTGTAAATGAAGGTCTATAATTGGGATCATGATCAACAGCTAAAAATATTGATAAAATATTAATATTAAAATAAGTTGTAAAAATGTATATATATGTATATATATGTATATATACCTTTTTTCGCAATATCTTGATATTCTTTTGGTAAAGGAGAAACTTCAGAAAATGGTTCACGATATTTTTTTTCACCAACAAGTTCAGTAATAGCCATAATATCTTTATAATCCGCATAAGGAACTTTTTCTTCGGCAATTTCCCAAAGTAAAATACCAAAACTATAAATTTCACTCTTTGTATCATATTTAGTTTGAGATCCTAATCTTTCTAATTTTTCTGGAGCACAATATCGAACACATTCTAATGTAGTTTTGTGATTTTTTGTAACATCAGTTACGGCTCTACTTGAATTAAAATTTGCAATCTTGGCTGTTTGATGATCCGTAATTAAAATATTCTCGGCTCTTATGTCACGATGAACAATCTATTTAAAGGGAAAGTATATAAATATAATTTTTTTTTTTAAAAAAAAAAAAAAAAACAAGAAACTCTCATCAAAGATAATTACCTCAACAGCTCTCAAGAAATTTAAACCTCTAGAAATATCAAGAGCAAATAATAATTTCACCTTAACATCAAGTGGACCATAAGTATTATAAAATTCACGTAAATTACCATATTCAGCCCATTCAGTTACTAAAAACCATTTATTACCATCAGTAGTAGTTAAACCAAAAAATTGAATAATATTATGACATTCTTCTAATTTTCTTAAAATTGTAACTTGATTTTTAATATTATTCTTAGCTTCTTCGTTACTACTTTCATCTGCTACTAATTTTAATGCAACGAAATCATTAATTCCATTTTTTATTCTTTTAAATTTTTTTATTTTTTTACCAATATTTTCATCAACTTCAGTTTCATCAAAATCATTATATGGAAGTAATTCATTTTGAAATATATTAGTTTCAGTTTTGTCCATTATTGTTTTATTAAGTACGCTCAATTGTACAACCAGATCGGAGACATTTTTATTCGTATCAGTTAGACCACCTCCGATTACTTGAAGATACTATTAATGAATATTTTAATTAAAAATTATTATATTTATCTCATACGTATTAAAAAAAAAAAAAAATTAAATTACTATTAACAAAATTATAAACTAGTTACCTCAGATAAATCTTCGATATCAGCTTTGATCTTTTTATTATCAATATCATTACGTGCACTAAAATCAACCATGAAAGCAAATTCCAAAAGTTGAATGGTAAAATCAAATTCTTTATTTAAATCCATTGTAGTCTTTTCAATATTTTTAGCTTGAATATATTTTTGTAATCCCTTTAATTGAGAAATTTCTGCTAAAAATTTACGTATTTTACCAACCACGGTAACTAATTTTTGTAAATTAATATAATTTTCTTCTGAAAAAAAATCTTCATTCTCTTCTCTACGAACTTTTAAATTTTTTATAGCAGATTCAGCTATGGTTACTCTATCTAACATTACACCACATATTCTTTTATTATGCTCTGCTGTTTGATATATATCTACAATTTCTTTAAGTAATCTAGATACCTCTCCTATAAGTGGTAAAAAATTTGCAAATGGTACTGCTACATTTGCCGCGGCTTCTACTCCGGCACAAATTGTATTTATTGTATTAACCACCGGTTCCATGCCATCCACAGCAGCCTCCGCTACTTTATTCACTCTTTTATAAACCGCTTTCTTTTTAGGTGCAGCTGTTTCGCTCATAATTGTAAATAAAAAATTGAGAGAGTAGAAACAAAGAAAATTTGTTTATATGCTAATTCTTAATTTAACTCCTTTTATCTTTGTAGCATTATCCACAATGTTGGTAACACCTACTAAAAAAAAATATTCTAATCTATATATGTTAATTATTTACCATACATATTCATCTCAATGAAGGACGGTTAATTTTGTAATACGTAAATTTTTTTTGAATCCCGTCAATCAGTAATATTAAAAATGATGATTAGAAAATCTTTCCATGTCAACATTTTTACAAGCTTACGAAAAAAAATATTCCCTGTTTACATTTACATGAAATCGTACATATCGTAAAAAACCTTTAAAAATTAGAATAGTTGTCGAACAATGTTAAGAAGCGAAGATCAGAGATGTCAATAGTTAATATATATATAATAAGCACAAAAAGAGATTCATTCTCTTCTGGTTTCTTTGAATTTGAACCTGTAAAAATTTATGGGATCTTACTTAATTTAGGTCTCAAATACTAATCTTATTAAAGATACTGTAATAAATTTATTATTCTGCAAACTACTCAAATTATTTAAACAAATTATTTGAGAATTTTTTATTCATTTTACTTGTTTAAAACTTTAATGAATTTTGGTGGAATTCGAGAACTAAAAAAGGTAAACAAAGTAATGGCTTGGAACGCCGTTGTGCCTCTTCGTGCTACTACCTTGATTATACAGTGTGTAATGGGGACAAAGTAATTTTAAACGGATAAATTTACAAACCAAGTATTAATTTGCAGTTAAAAAAGATTGGACGAAATCTATAAAATATTAAAATTTGGCAAATCATTTAATCCAATAAAGGTTAATGGATATTAACACTATATTGACCCGAATATATGGTTTAAAGGCGTTATGAGATTATGTATGTGAGTGGCAAAATTTTACAAATTGTTGATATAATTTGTATTATTTATTTCATGGAGAGTTGGGAATAATAGGGTTTTTTTCCCGAAGGGAAAAAACCCCTTCCCGTTAAATAAATGGGTAATCTTCGGAAAAAAAACCCTATTATTCCCAATTCCCCATGAAATAAATGGGTAATCCCCTGGAGCGTGTCACTCATTAAATCTTAACTATTTTAAACTTTTAACTATTTTAAACTAAAATTAGTAATCTCCCGGCTATCTATATAAAGACGGGAAATAAGTAAACCACGCGCAATTTTTAAAAATTAGTATGAAGGTGATCATGAGTGACACTTAGTGCGACAGGGGATTAAAAAATTAAATTTTAATTGGCAAAAATTTTTGGTTGATGCCGTGACTAAAAATAAACTAAAATCATTTCTAATTAAAATGAAAAATTTTGACACATTTAATATAATCTTTTATAGTGTATAGATTATTATAATACGTAATTAGCTTACTATTGTCATTTTTTTTTTTTTAATAAGTATAATTACTAAGTTGAAAAATAATAATTCATCATCCGGTCCGTAAATAAATAGATGATCCGGATGAACCATCTCAATATAAGATGACCAGATGACCGATTCGTAAATAATGGATGATCCAGATAACCATCCGAATGGATTAATATCCAATTCATAAAATCTTTAATGACATTTGAAGTGTGTCGATCGACTATTCTCTTATTTGGTGTGTCACAAACTCACATGTTTACTGCTACAAAACATAAGAGTATAAGTAATAGTTATTTCACGGATCAGCCTAGATGTTATCATCACGGCGGATACCACGGAGACTAACGTCCCGTATACAACTTTAAACTACTGATAACTTTTTCTTAAATAAACATCACCCATAAAAATATCAATAAAGAAAATCACGAAAGAGGAAACGTGGTATATAATATTGCTTTGAGATCAGCATGGATCTTTTAACTGAAAGTCCAAATATAAGTGTATAAAGATCATGTAAAAATGAAATTTTACACCTAAAGATTCTGGATTCAGTAAGAGTAAACATTCAAAAATTTCTTACAATTACTTTGACAAACAATTACCTAGTATGTCATCATTGGCCAAATAACTTTGGTTAAAACCTCATAGTAATAAATGTAATAGTGTAAAAAAAAACAAAAAATCTTTAATTCCAGATACATAAAAAAAAATAAATATATATACATAATTAAAATTATTCATTCAAATAAAAAAGAGAGAAAACTAATTATTTTTATAAAGTTTCCTTTTTCTTTTGTTTGTTTATCTTGTTTTCAAAATAAAAATCAATAATATCAGAAGTAAATTTTTTCATTTCATCTTCCATACCATTTAATATATATATAGCAAAATGAGCTTCAACATTTTCACATAAAATTCCGGTGGATATTGGAGCATTTTTGGCTACTTTAATCAATTTATCTAAACCACATTCAATAGCTACTTCTGCAAGAAAACTTCTTGATATAAGTTTATTGGTTAATATACTAAGTTCTCCATTGCTTGCATTAGGTAACCTATTATATAATTCTCTTGCTATAAAATAATTGTATGCTTTATCTCCATAAAAACAGTATCTTCTGTATGGATGATGATTATTTAACGGTGCTGCTGGATGTGTTAAAATTTCGTCACGAAGAGTTTCATCTTTTAATGGTGGAAGTTTTAATTTTTTTTGTGATGAAGATGGTGAAAAGAACTTTAGTTTCTGAGAGTTTAAAATAAAATTTAATGAATTTTTTAAAAGATTTGTTATACGAGACATTTTAAATCAAATCAAAAAAAAAATTTCGATTTATATACGGATATCAATTCCTTTTATAGTTAAAAAATCAGTTCATCTTTTATGACTCAGTTCAGCAAACACGTGTCATTAACAATTTTTAGAAAAAAATTAAAAAATTCAATCTTAAAAATTAAATAAATTATTATTATTATTTAGATCTGTAAATAATTATATACAAAGTTTTTTATATTCCTTATTTAAATTATCAATTTCATCTAATACTTTCAAAAGTTGTTCTTTGGCTTTACTTAAATTTGGCTTTAAAAAAAAAAAAATATAATAATAATATAAATAATAAGAAATCTCATGTAAATCTTAAATATATAGCCTTAAAATTTGTTTACCTGTAAAATATGTACACCATATTGAGTAGCTACGATAAGTTCTTCAATACCATCTTCATTTAAATCTAGGCTAGCTATTCTATAAATAGGATGTGTAAAAGATCTTTGCCATAACAATTGGTACGTAATCATATCTTGAGAATTATCATCTAAAAAATAAAAAATTATTATACATTATACTATATAATCTATTAAAATTTATTATTCATAACTCACTTTGTTTATAAATAAGTAATTCTCTGCCATAAGTTCCGATAAGAATCTCATTTTTACCATCCCAATCTATATCCATTATATGAGAACATAAAACACTATCATGTTGTGAACATTCTCTTAAATATATTGGACTTTTAAGAATTTCTTTATCTACATAACTGAAACGTGAATAAATTGTCCATAAATATCCAAATAAAATAATAAAAAGTTAAAACGCATTATCATAATTATCATACCAGTATATAATTGCTTGTTCTACGGCACAAGTAACAAGCATATGAATTTCTTCTTGTTTATCTTAAAAACAAAAATTTACATTTGTTAAATTCTTATAAGAAAAAAACTTTTTTATATAATTTACAAACCTTTACTTGTAGATGATGTGAATATAGATATTGAAGTGATAGGACTAAATAGTGCAACTGATGATTGTTCTTGTACTTTAAAAATTACGAAAATTTCATTAATAAATATGAATTTGTTTTAATGTAAAAAAAACATTATATTAATTTACCAAATTCTTCATTAGAATCATTTCGCTTTAAGACTGATATGTGAAGCATTCCATTTTGGCACCCTACTGCTATAATTTTAACATTATGGAATTCTTTAATTTCTAATGATAATATCCTTTTAAAAAAAAAGTAAATTAGTAATAGATTAAATAGGCTTACTAAAATTAATTTTTTATATTACTTTAAATCAGAATTAGCTGATCTAGTTAATCCAGCAATGAAAGGAAAATAAGGTTGTATAGATGATTGTTCCCATTTCTTTGCGTGTTTGTCCTTAAAATTACAATAATTGTTATTAAAAATTTTGATAAAAAAGAAATTACCAAATAATTTTTAAATAATTAGTTTAAATTATATATAAATATTATATAATTATGCACAATATATATTATTTTTGAACTCACTTCAGTATATAAATGTATACCCCCCTCAGTTCCACATAAAAGTAAAGCAGAACAATCTTCACCATCTTTATTAATCTTAGTATGAAAAAGTTGCATGGGTGTGAAATGAAGCATAATACTTTGATGACAATCTTTTTCTAAAAAAAAAAATGTTTTTAAAAAAAATGTTATAATCTATAATCTAATAATAATCTAATTTATTAAAAAAGTTTTGTTAATACAATTTATTCTTACCAACAATCTTATAAATAGCATCTTCCATAAATGTTGATGCTGAATCATCCACCAAAGAATAAATCTGAAGAAAAAATTGGTTCTCATCTTCAAATGTGATCTTTTGATTTGACTACAATTACGCATTTATGTTGTTAAAAATATATTTCTTTGAATATTTTAAAGAAAAATAAATTTAAAAGGTTTACATTGACTGTTGTCAAGGCAATGGTTAGATCCGAATTAATTGAAGAAAATACATCCATTGAAATTATTTCACCTATTATATAATTTTAAATATCAAATGAATAAATATAAAATAAAGTATAAAAATTTTTAAAATTTACAAAATTACCAATATCTTTAATATCTAATGGTAATTCAATTGTATTCCAATGTCCTGATCCTGAAACAAAACAGTTAATTCCATAGAAAAAACTTACGAATAAATGCTGATGGATTCCTACATTATTAATATTATAAAATTATTAATTTAAATGAAAGATTTTTATTTAGATGAGATATGTAACTTTTTACTTTTTCTATTATTCTTTTTTCTCAAATTATAAGCAAAAATCTCATGAGGAGGATTTTTAAGAGCATTTGATGGAAATTCTGGAAGACAAGGTAAACCACTTTCTAAATATGAGGTGAATACAGATAATCCATAGATATTTCTAAAGGAAGATATTTTTTAATAAGCAGTTTTAGTTTTTAATCTATTTTTTTTTAATGAAAATTGGATAATAGGTGATAAAAACTCGAGAAAAAAATTACGTTCTACCTCCCGAAGGAAAGTGTTCGTAATGACTTTCATTGAAGTATCCTTCAGTTTCCATTATAAAAATATTATAAATTATAAAATATAAAAGATAATGAAATCATATAATTCGGAAAAATTTTTTATTCGGTAGATGAAATAGATAAAAAAAAAAAAAAAAAAAAAATTTTAAGAATAAAGAAAAAAAAATTCACAATCTATAATTTGACAGAATTGACACGAACCAATAGAATCATTCTCCGAAGTTGCAAAATGTGTAAGGATAAGTATCATGACATGTGATACGAGAAAGGTATCTTAATCCTATTTTTTATAAACATAATCCGATTTTTGAATGTACACCATTAAAGAAATTGATAATCGATCGATAGGAATGAGTCCGATATTCCGATATCTGATATATATAGATAATTGTACAATTAAATGATTAGAATCTATTATATCATTAAATAATCAATAAACTTTAACTAAGTAATATAGCCTTGTCTTATTCCTGTTTACAAAGAACAAGTGCTTATTTCGGAGTATTTGATAATATGTATAATATGTAGTATATTGGGTAAAATTGCAATGATATTTTGTACGACAAACTTCCTTTTTATGACAATTATAGATATTTATACAGAAGTTATTCGGAATAAAATTCCATCATTACAGTTAAGTATTACATTTATTAACTATAATAGTTCCAATTTAATTACATTATGTGTATAATAACGATATTAAACTCTGTTGAGAATAAGTTTCCCAAATTCAGCATTATGAAACGTGTACTAAATATCAAGAAAATTATTTAATTTAAATAGTCATTTTATTTATACATACAAAGGATCCAAATACAGAAATAATTTTGGAATTTTCCGGAATTCTAACATCTGATAATCTTATATTGTACATTGTACATTGTACACATTGTACAAAAACCTTGTGACACTTACTTCTGGAATTTGATCGTCACTCCGATTATGCTTGGCGTCGGAAAATTTGCTCGTTGTCCGTGTAAGGGGAAATCCTATGACCGAAGTTTTCGATTGGTAAAAAAAAAATGCACATGTAATATTTTTACGCCAAAGTCGCAAAAGAGATTCCATAACCAATATCCTAATGCAGATCCAAAACAAAGGGTTTCTTAAATATAATAAATAATTTGGCGTAATATCAACTTTAATTCAAGGAACCAAATTAAAAAAGGTAATTTATTTGTTTTTTATTAAGTTTCAGATCCTGAATTTTTTTGTTTTGGATTTCGGTTATTACTCGCTTTTATCAAATTTACTATTCTTTTTGACGAATATTTTTAGACCGATTCTATAATTGTTCCCTAATATGGCATTCAATGAATGATTTTCAAAAAGAGGAAATTTTGTATAAATTACGTACGTTTCTTACCATTTGGGACAATATTTCTTTCTTTACTCTCATTTAACAAAAAAACTTGTTAACTCTTATTAAAGATGTTTCGATTACAACAGAGTTTAAAAAATTACAATAATTTTATCACATTACAACAACAAAATCCAATTCTAGCACGTACAGTTTATAGTTCCTTAAATTTAAGATTTCTTCCTTCAGCTTTTTATTCCACAAAAAAAATCAACCTACCAAAAATTAACGATGAAAAAGTTGTTACAACACTTTTTACTGAATATGATAGATTAGATTCTTTTATTGGGGACAGAGCATATAATTATTATGCGACAAGAGCATTAAAATTAAAAGTTCCTGGTGCGATTAGAAAAGATTTTATGATAATCGCCAACAGAATAATTCGAAGAGAATTTTTAGCTGAAATAGCAGTTAAATGTGAATTAGATAAACTGATGTTACAGCATACTAAAAATAATTATCATTTGGGAGAAATGATGGAAGCTTATTGTTCAGCAATGATATTTAATGGAATGGAAGAAGAAATGAAGAAATTCACATCAGATATAGTTGATTATTATTTTGAGAAAAATAAGACTAATAAAGATGTTAAGGAAGGACAAAATAAAACCATTGAAGAAATGAAGAAGAATGATGATAAGAAAGAGGAGAAAAAAGATAAACAAAAAGGAATGGTGGAAATGAAGAAGAATGATGATAAGAAAGATGATAAGAAAGATGATAAAACAACAAATGAAATAACAAATAAAGTTGTTAAGGAGACCAATAAAGAAGAAAAGCAACAAAAAGGGGTAGAAATCAATAAGAATAAAAATATAAAAGAGAATAAAGTTAGTCTTGAAAATTCTAAAAAGAAAAAGAAGAAAAAGAAAGGAACCAATGATAAAACTATCAAAGAAAAGGAAAAGGAAATAATCTTATCGATAAAAGGACAATAAATTGTGGAATAAATGTGGAAAACTTATAAAGCGAGGTAAATGAATGGGGTCGTAGTGTCGTATAGATTAAATAAGCAGATACGAGATAAGAAATATACTGCGGGCAGCCGATCGAATCCGATATGAAAGAAATATTTGCGACACACACAATATGTCAATATATCAATATTATCAATATAGACCTAAATATAGAATAATTATTTTTTTTTTTTTTTTTTTTTTTTTTTTTTTTTTTTTTTGTTCTTCTATTATAAACACTTTCTTTTTTTAATACTTAATTACGTAGTTAATATTTATACAATATTTTATATAAAAATAAATCAAATTTTTTTTTTCAAAAATAATCTGCGCACTTTCTTTATAAAAAAAAATTTTATTTCTTCTAAAAAAAAATGGATAAATCTTCTTCTTCTTCTTCTTCTTTATCTTCACAAATTTCTTCACCACAAATTATATCCTTACAAAATTCTTTTAATAAACCAATTCCATACCTTCCACCCGAAATAGTAACAGAAATAGTTTCGTATATTAGCGAAGACGATATAAAATCATTATATTCAATAATTCAAATAAATAAAACATGGTTTAATTGTTCAATTCATGTATTATGGAAACAACCATTTAAATATACTTCATTAACAGGTTATTCTAAATTACTTAAAATTTATATTTGGTTCTTACCTGAAAAAACTAAAATGGAATTACGAAAGAATGTTTTTAAATTCGATGTTAAAGAATTTAATAAAATTCCTACAGTAAATTATTTAAATTATTTAGAGAATTTAGAATTAGAATATCGTAGTTTATATTGGGCAATTAAACTTTTATTACCTACTTTAAAAAGTGAAGAAAAAGAAGAAATTGAAGAAGAAGAAAATCATGTTGAAATTAAAGAAAGAAAGGAAAAAGAAGAACAAGAAGCAAAAAATTTAAGAAAAGTTCAAGCTAACGCTTTATTAAAGGAATTAATTAAATTGTACAAAGAAAATTGTCCCAAATTGAAAAAATTTAAAATGAATGATCCAACTGAACATTTGAAATTGACTGTAGACGAATTGGATCATATCTGTACAAGTAAGTAATTATATTAAATGACGTTATATATTCTTTAATATGTAAAACTTATTATTATTATTATAACCTTTTATTATTTTATAGATCCAACAGATCAAAAAACAAGAATTTATCGTTCCCGTCGTAAACTTATAATCCTGTCTCTTATACACATCTAGATGTGTATAAGAGACAGTGTTTGACCATTAGCCTTAATAGCTTCATGTATAGACTTCCTTTTCCTTCTTTTTGTTAGATTTCTATTTATTTCTTTCTTTAATATTATTATTTTATTTTTGATTTTCCAAAAAAAAAAAAAAAAAAATTTCTTTCTTTTCTTCAATCTATTTGTTCTATTCTTTTCTACACGATTACTTTTATTTGACTTATAAGCATTTTTATTATATAATAAATTTTTTAGCGTAAGCGTAAGCGATGATCATAGGACGATATATCTGATAATAAATCACCACGTTGAGATTATTGGATGTATATATATAGTATTTCATTTATTCGATTGTGTCACTTAGCAATTAGCAACCCTCGTAGATGGTTTATTAGTATTTTACTTAGTAGCTAACTTTTATCGATTTTTTTATTTTTTTTTCGTTTGTAAATTCTTCCGATTTGCTCTCCTTCTTTCCCAACTCACTATATTTAAGTTGTAATTATCTAATGTAATTATTTGAAATGGTTTCAAATTCATTAAACCCCCCTTTTTTTAAAAAAGATTAATTCTAACAAAAAAATAATGATTTGTTAAAACCACATAGTTCATTAATAATAATTTTTACAGGAGACGTTATTAACATTCCCGGTTAAATATCATCATTTGGAATTAATGAGAATTATGGGAATTTCATTAATTAACTTTTTTATAAATTATCCCAAAAAATTTTCAAAATATAATTTCGATTATATTATTTTGTAGATTTTTAAATTTTTTGCATATAATAAATAACTATAATATTTCCATTTTTACAATATTTTGTACAGCTTAATTTAATTAATAAACTAATACTAAATAATACTAAACCGTTTATAATTGTAAATTGTCAAGAAGGAAAAGTGGCGACGGGTCTGACTTAAACCCGCATAATATATTTTACAATAAGGGATCAAGATGATGCCATCGGGAGGGGTCAAGTCCGATACTTTTGCACCTTTGATAGATAAATGAAAATAAGAATTTTCGCACGTGATCCTAAGATTTTCTTGTCCTTATCTGGTAATTAGTTAAAATACGCGTATGTGTAATTTGGTAATTTGTGTGATTTTAGCATCTTGTACTAATTGTACTAAACCAATTCATGATTATAATGCACACCTAAAATATACCAATAACTTTGGATTCATTAATTTCGTGAAATTATATGTCGTTGTATTTTATTATTTAATGAATTGACATTTTTGTTTTTACAATTACAAATTTATTTTACAATAAATACCATTTTTGATGATGTAAATTAAATAGATAAATAAAATAAAAAAAAAATAAAAAAATAATTTAACTAATAATAGCTTAAAATACATGTTATTATTCTAACCAGATAATACGCTAACAACAAATCCAGTTTGTGTACTCTTAGTGGATCTTTCCCATTTTTCAGCTTCTTTTTCTCTTTTCAAATTTCTAACAGTATTTTCCAATTTTTTCTTTTCTTCAGTTTCACGTTGTAATAATTTTTGTTGATCAGTTCTTAAATCTGCCATCATCTTTCTGAATTCTTTTCTTAATGTGGCAGTCGTGGCAGGTTCACTAACAGCATCCATACCCATATGTTTAAGTTTTTCATCTGCTAATTCATTCTCTAATTTTTCACATTTCTTTTGTAAATTATCAATAGAATTCTCTAATTTTTGTCTTTCTCCATCAAAATCAATGAAATTTCTTGTTAATCGATCAAATTCTTTATTTATACCATCTAATTCTGCTTGCATCATTTCTGAACTTTTTTCTAATGATGCTTCTCTCGTGGCAAATGCAGCTTGTGATTTCTCTAAAGTATCTTTTGATTGTCTTAATTGTGCTTCAAGTTTTTCTTTATCATTCCGTAAATGTTTTAATTCTTCATGTGCTGCTTCAAGTTCTTCTTTAAGTTTATTTAAATCATTTCCACCTGAATTTCCAACTCCTAAAATTGTACTGTCATTATTTCCTTCACTATTATTATTAAAATTTGATACTTCCCCATCTGTTGCAGCTTTCAATTCTGCAAGTTCTGATTTAAATTTTACAATATCACCCTCTAATCGATTTATAGTAACTTCTCTTTGATCTAAAGTTCTTGTTTTGGATTTCAACATTTCTTCTAAATCCCTAACTGTTTGTGTCACATTATTTTTATCTGTTGTGGTATTCGTTAAATCATCACGAAGTTTTTTAATGATTATATCTCTTTCTTTCATTTGAGCTTCATATTCTTGTTCTTGAGTGGCTAATTGTTGTTGGAATTCTTCTTTTATAGTTTTACCATCATTAACAACCTGTAAAACGGATTGTCTCTTCATAATAGCTTCAAGTTTACGAACTTTTTCTTGACTTGTCATTAACTGTTCACGTAATGATTCCAATTCATTACGCATTTCATTTTCTCTTTCATTGGTTGACTGAACTTGAGATTTAGCGGATTGTGCTTTTTCTTCAAGTTCTGCTAATTTTGCTTTTGTTTCTTCAAGTTCTTGTTGTGTATTTTTCAATTCTTGTTTAATTTTATCTTGCCCTTTCAATTCTGTCATTTGTTCAAGTATTCTCTCCAATCGAGCTTGCAACAATGATGTTTGGTCGTGTAACCTACGATTTTCTTCTCTGACAGCACGTACCCTATTTATAAATTCATCCAACCCAAATTTATTCTTATTCGATCCATCTTTATTTTGATCATCTTTGGAGTCAACGTCAGGTAAGATATTAAATAAATTTTTCAAATGATCCATCATTTCTTCATATTCTCGTGTCGTTTGTTTCAATTTTAATTCTAAATCTACATTAAAATTCTTTTCATTGACTCCCTTTTCATTTTGTCTTTGTTCCATCTCTTTAATTTGTTTTTCTAAATCCTTAGTTAATTTAACTTTTTCTTTCAACTCGTTATTTTCATTTAATGCTTCTAAATTTTTTATTTTTTCTGTTTTAAGATCTTCTTGCGATTTATTCGTATCATTAATAGCTTCTTGTAATTGATTTTGTAATGTCTTAATTTCATCATCTGACTTATTTTTTAATGAACTGACTTCTTGTTCCATTTTATAAATTTTGAAAATATAACCTTCCAATGCCTTTTCCAATGAAGTTAAATTTTCTTCAATATTTTTATATTGCTCTTTTTGAAGATGTTGAGTTGCCGTGGTCATTGTGGATAATCGATAGAAACTAGAAGTTCCTGAATATTGTTCATCAGAATCTTCATTGTCAGATCCAGAACCATTATTATTATTTTCTCGATTATCTGCTTTATGTTTTCTTAATACAATATCCAATCGAATGCCAATTTCTTCAAGTTCAGTTCTCAATTCAGCTATAGTCCTTTCACGAGCTTCGGCCATTGTATCATCAGCTTTTGTTTTCAGTTCTTCAATCTCTTTATCTTTTCGTTTTAAAGCCATTCTTGCCTCTGCTAATGTTTGATGAACATTTTGTAAAGCATTCTCCAAATTTGAAATTTTCTCCGATGAAACATTATCTGATACACCATTTTCACCATCATTTTTAACTCCCATGATTTCATTAAATAACTTTTCAATTCCATTATTACCTTCCGTCGCTTGTGACTGTGGTAAATTTTGTGGTGAAAAAGGTGGATTTTGGGAATTTTTTTCTTCCAATTTTCGTATCCCTAAACTAAGAACACCAGCCATATGTTGTAATAATTTCCTTTGAACTTCACCAGCTCGTTGTGTTAATTTCCATAATTCTGTTGCAACTTGATCTACTTTACGATTTGCCGTAGCTAAATGATCTGTTGCTTGCCTTGATAATCTTTTATTTGATGCATGAAGTCTTGCAAGTGAACTAGCTGCTTCCCGAATTTTCGATTCCAATGAAAGTTTTGAAGTCAATGCTGATATACGATTTGTTAATAATGAATGATCCTAAAAAAAAAAAAAAGTTTACATAATTAAATAAATATAAAATATCAAAATTAAAGGTCTAATTGACATATAATGCACACCTTTTTAAGTTCTTCAACTTCTTCTAAACTCAGGATCTCAAAATTTTTTGAATCAATAACGGCTTGAGATATCAAAATTTGCATCAACATTTCATCAGCTGTATCCAAAAAAGAACTTCCTGGTACTTTTGGAGAATTTAACGAAAGCATAGCTTCAGAAGAAGCGATTAGATCATTAGCAATAGCCAATGAAGACAATTTAACTTTAGGTGGAGAAGCAGTACTATTAGAATTTATATCCGCAAGTCCCATTGAGGTGGGAGAATTTGTGGTGTAAAAACTTTGGTCTGAACTACGTAATAATGAATTGGGTGTTTGATTTGATTGAACGGATTCTTCTTCTTCTTCATTTTCAGGCAAAGAAGGTAAATCACGTTCTATTGAAGTTGAAGAATTTAATGAAGCAGTATCTACAGAGGGACGTGAACGAATAGAAGAATTTTTCGATATTATCGATGAATTAGTTGATACAATTGGTGCACTTGTTATTGTCATTGTACTCATAACAGGTTGAACTATAGTAGTTTGTGTTGAACTACTTATAGGTGAAATAGGGCCATTTTGATTTCCACTAAGTGAATTAGCTGAACTACTATGTCTTAATGGTGATTTTGCAGGAGCTTTTGGAACTTGATTTAAAAAGCTTTGGTCAGTTAGTTTATCCGTTTTTAAAGTTTTTGGGGGAGACGAAGAATCCCCATAGTCTTGTTCTGATGCTACGGGTACTGGTTTTCGTCTTGAAAAGGAGTTATTAGTTGAAGAGGACATTCTTATACTTTGTAATAAAAGCTATCATTAAAGCTTAAAATAAATAATAAATATAAAGCGATAAAAAAAAACCACTTTGTGATTTTTTTAAAAAATTTTATTTGAAAAAGAGGGGTAAAGTTTATAAAAATTTTAAATTTTGAAACATATATATAAATTGATAAAATCATCGGGTGTTTAAATAAACTATGATAATAACAGATTAGTTTTTTTAGTTTGTTACACTACTATATAGGGTATATACGGGTAAACGCTAATGGAGAAAATGAAGATGGTTATATATATATGCTCAATCCCTCAATGCTAGTCACACATTAAAAATGGAATCATATTCCAATCGAAATTAGCTTTTATCAAAGATCAGTGTAACAGTAATAGTCAAATTAACTTCTATAATTTAATCTTTTATCATTAATTAAAAAAAAAATTTTTTTTTTTTCATTATAATGGTAGCAATGGATGGAAAAAAAGTTACAGTTACTTGTAAGAAAAATTAATTATATTATATAATTTTTTCTTTGATCCTAATTAATTAAATCCAATTTAATAATTAGATACTGATGAATTCGGTATTTGGCAACATCTCGAAATGGACTTTCGACAACACCTTCCTCTACGAAATTTACGTTGGCAGTCAGCTAAAGGTCCTGTGCGTAACATACCAAATTTGGGTGTGGAATTAAAACGTTTTATCACGGAGACAACGGAAAGGTCTCACATGTTGCCTGAAACTTTACCATACCTTAATTTATACTTTGTTAATTGTGATGTAAGTATTAAAAGATTTTTATTTCATTTGGTATAAAGTTTTTATTTTTTACCAATTTAAATTGATTTAAATTTAGGATAATGAAACATATCGTCAAATAGTTAAGAATCAAATTCGTGACTGGTTAAATATTGCTGAATCTAGACGAAATCAAGAATGGTTAATTGTTTATGTAACTAAACAAGAAAATTTTCGAAATCCTGCTAGATATTTTAATATGAAAGGAACTGTTTTTGATAAGATTAAAGCGGATTTTAATATTACAAAGCGTGATAGGTATGAAAAGAATTATTATTATTATTATTTTTTATATCATTGGTTAATATTCGATATTAACTAATTATGTTATTAGATGTGTACAACTAAGATTGTCTGAAAATGAAACTGAAGATTATGAAGCATGGCAAGAATTAATATCTAAAATAAAAGAAGGAATATTATATAGTTTTGATCAATACGTTAAACAATATGAAGAAGATATTCGAAAATCGGATTCTCAAAGAAGCATGATTGGATGGAATTATTGTACATTTTTTATATTAAAGGTAAATTATAATATAAAGTTCATTTATTTATTCATTTAATTAATTAATTATTGATTATTTAGGAAGGATTGGCTTTGACCTTTGAAATTATGAATATATTTGAGGATGCTTTAGTTCAATATGATGAATTAGAAGCATCATTTTTTCAAGTTTTAAAAGGTTTGATGTGATTTTAAATTCTAGAATTTTTATATAATGTATATTTTCTTATTTATTATTTTTTTTTATTCAGATAGGGCACTTGCCTGGTTTGGCAGCTTTGGTGCTACAGATCCAAATGATGATAGCGCTAATATTTTAGACGTTAAAAAGAAACAATATAGAGATCTTATAATGCAAAATACAATTCCTGAATTTGATTTCAGATGTTATCTTTTCGCAAGACAATGTCAATTATTGGGAAGATTACATAAGCCTGTTGAAATATGTCGGAGAGCACAAATCTTCATTTCAACCTTTAGTAGGGCAATCAAAGAGCATCAAGCAAACGTAGGAGAATATTTTTTAGAATCGTGGATCTTTTCTTCTTGCATGAGCGTTGTCAATGAATGTGAAGAACTGGCACCGTTGACTTCAATGGATAGTCCTAATACAATCGCATTCAATGCTGCTAAAGGAGAGTTATTAGATTTAGCAAGAAAGCAGGTTGATTATTTTTATACTTTCTTAGGCGTATTATTTGGATTGATTTGGTGTTGTCAAATTGGGTGGGTACTGCAATTCAATGATAGGTTGTCGATTTTGACCCTTCCTTGTTGCATTCGCCCGGTTAATAATCAAGGGACGAGAATGAAGATTGATTTGAAAATTTTCATAACAAAATGTCCTCTAATAGTCTTTAAATAATTGATTTGAAGATCAACACCATTCAATTAAATTAATGAATACGTCCTCCTCTTCTTTTTGAATAACGTTTTACATGGACTTTTTTAACATATATGTTTATTTTAATAGCTTGATAAGATTGGGATTTACTATAATCATTTACCAGCTTCGCTTCCATTTACAACATCTCTAAGTGATACGATTCCAACCTCACCTAATGAAGCTAGAAAAAAATTCGATATTACTAATAAGGAATTAGAAGAAGCAATTAATTCACAGAATGATTTCGATGTTCTTTATTTAGTAAGCAATATCAGCTTTTGTCAATTTTCAATGTAAATTTTTAATTTTATCATTGCATTATATCTATAATATCGATAATATTGACAGAAACGTGTTTTTTTCATCATAACAAGTCATTGACAAACAGAGCACTAAGAGCTTATGAAGGTAGTGCACGTCTTCGAAGTGTATTACGATTACAAGGCGATGTTGCCGCATTACATTTGTAAGCAAATTCTTTATAATTGAGTTTTAATTATCGATTATCATTTAAATTAAACATAATTAATCATACTTTTTTAGTCATCGTAAGCAATATGAAGATGCGGTACAAGTGATGGAAGATATTCCATGGAGATATGGTGAACAAGGATGGACTGTAGTTGAAAACAATCTTTTATTTAAATTTGCTGCATGCCAAAAAGAATTGGGTCAAAATAGGAGATATCCTTTATTTTTGTTCATAAAAAAAAAAATATTTCTTCTTTTAATTTTTATCTTTAATAACTTGATTTTTTAAATCAACACTTATGTGGGATCATGTTTGTCATTATTAAAAAATTACTCTTTATTGACAAATGAAGAAATTGCTTTTTATGCAGATGAAGTTAAAAAGCTTTGTGGCGTACTTGAAAAAGGCGAAGGTGTGAATTATTTTTATCTTCTGTATTTATTTTCTTAAAAAGAAGAGAGAGAGAGAATAACTGATGTTTTACTATTTTAGAAATTAATCGTCAATTCAAGCCAATATTTGCTATATCAGTGTCATCTATTGTTGATGATATAGGGGATGAGGATGGACCAAATTTATCAGTTGAATTAACTAATAATTTATCTACAGTACGATAAAAAAGTTTTATTATTTAATATTTATTTTTTGGTATATTACGAAGTTAATGATTAAATTTAGATTTTATATTTAACAGTCTTTTACTTTTGATCAACTTGCGATTCGATTGGTTAGTGGACAGAGTGAAGAGATTTGGTTTGGTGTTTGTAAGGAGGAAATCAAACCTGGTTTGAATTCTTATAAGCTTTATTCCGATGTAAGATTATAATGATATTTATAGACTATTATTATTTTAACGATATATTTCTAATTTTTATTTTTATTTAATCTTAAATCAATTAGAACAGTGCATCTGGAAATTACTTTGTAGAGAATGTACGAATGTCAATAGGCAAAGTAACATTTACTCACAATTTCTTGAATGAGAGTAAAAAGAAATCATTTAGAATTAATGAACACCCGTCAGTATTAAGAGCACAAATCATTCCTCCATGTGAAAGTATGAGTCAATTTTTAAAGGAGATTAGTTCGTCTTTACATTATAATATGTTTAACTTTTTTTTTTCCTTTAGTTCATATTGGTGAATCACAATATTTTCTGGTTCGAATTTTTACTGGTCTTTCGCATGTAGATGAGGGTATTTTGGCTTTGGAAGCGACATCTGATGGACTTTCATTTCCAAAATCCGATAAATATCATTCGATCACCAAAACCGTTATTGGTAAGATTAATTTATAATTATGTTGTTGTTATACCCAATTTAGACATTAGAAATTACATCAGTTATTTTTTGATAGAATATGTAATAAGAACTTAAATTATTATATAGTTTAACGCTATAGATAAATTTTAATTAATATTTTATCACTTTTGTGTACGTTGGTTTATATATTCCTGAAATGCATATCCTATAAGTACTTTTATATTTATTATGATTTATTGATATCTTATTACTAGATGAGAAAATATCGGAAGAAAAAGTATCAGAACAGGATTTAGAAGTATTTGAAGATGGTAAAATAAGGATACCTTCTTCTCAATCAAATCAATTAATAGAATTTCAGGTTCCATATGATTGTAATTGGGGAGCAATTGAACATAAGGTTAGTATGATCTATATTATTTAATTTTTATTAAATAAAATTTAGTGATTAATTTTTTATATTTTTATCAGGTTAAGATATCAGTAGAATATAAAAGTAAAGGAAAGTTAAGAGTCTTCACATCTGTTGATACTATCAACGTTTGGTTACCTATTTCTGTTAATGAACTTAATATTTTTAGAGATGATTGGTAAAAAAAATTTTTATATTTAAAATTATTATTTATATTAAAATTTATTTATTCTGGTTTATTTTATTTTATAGTTTATTTTTAAAAATGGATATTACATTACAAGGGACGGTTCCAGTAAGAATCCTAAAAACTGACTTAGTTCCTTCAAAAGTATATGATGTAGCTGATAATCCATCCTTAACTTTACCATCTTTGGTAAGTGTTATACAAATTATTTTACAATATTTATTCATAACATATATTATTAACTTTGAACTTTTTATTACACAAAAAAAAGAATTTATTCGGAAAGCAACATGCATCATACGTGTATAAATTGACAAGGTCAAAAGGTAAAAATATATTTTTATATATAAAGGAATTATTTTTGCAATTATATTTCAAGTTTTATTTATAATACATTAATTACATACAGATTATCATGGAGAGGAAAAGTCAGCAGGTACTCAAATTCATTTTGTAGTAGTGTACCGATCACTACAAGATGGTAATTAATTGTTTATTTTTTTTTTCATTTTAATGACTGTTCTTTTATTTTTAATTAAATTAAATATTTCGTTTATGTATTTACAGAAATTGAGAAATATGTGGAGCATACCTTGAATACTATTTTAAAGTCAAGAAATTTATTTCAACATTCTCAATTTCTTATTGAGAATGCCAAGGAACATTTATTAAAATCAGTAGATTATGTTTCATATGGTATGACGGACGTTTTGGATTTAGGTGAATTAGATATAGCACAATGTGAGAGCCTTTTTACAACTCATGGTGCTGCTAAAGAAGCATTAGTTGATGTAGTTAAGGAATTTTGGAAGGTAATTATTAATTTCAAATTTTATCTTGCTAGTATTTTATTTATTTAATTACTTTATCATTATCAAATTAGACAAGTAATCAAATATCTGAAGAAGAAATAATGTTGATTAGCAATGATTTAAAATCTTCAATATCATTTCCTGTAAATGTACCATCATCTAAGGTAATATACAAAATTTTTAAATGGTATTTGGTATAAATATATATATTTTTTTATTGGTTCGAATTTCTTATAAATTTCTTTGATTTAGGTACTTAATACGGTCGAATTGATTATATCTAAATCACATGATTTTATTGTTGGAGAGCCATGTCATTGTCGCCTTATAGTTCGACATTCGTCATACTGGAATCATGTATCCACGGATGCTAAAGATACATTCGAGTTTTTCTATGATGTTCATGTCGATTTTGATAATTGGCTATTAGCAGGACATAAAAAATTATGTTTTACATCAAAGGTAAAAAATTATATTAATTTTAATTTTAATTTTAATTTTAATTTTAATTTTAAAATTTAACCTTTTTTTTTTTAAATTAACTTAGGTTGGGGAAACAAAAGAATTTCCTATTACACTTGTACCTTTAAAAACTGGGCATCTTCTTGTTCCTTTCGTAAGAGTTGCAAGTCTTAATTCCCATATTTTTTCTGAAACTGTTTACTTAAACAATGCTGAACAAATTCTTGTTCGTCCTCGTACACAATCTGCAACATTCTTTATTGAACAACAACACCGTATTCACTCAATTCACTCAGGAGCAGGATTTGGAGGTCCTGGTCATCATCATAATGAAGGAATGGAGAATGTTGAATTTTAAACTACCATTTATTGTAATGAATATGACTGATCTTGGATTACTAATTATTTGTTATATATTTAAAACTTTGATATTAATAGAAGGGTAAAAGATAGTAAATTAATAATTCTTAAAAATTGGTAGATCTTTAGCATGTCTTTTATTATATAAGTATAGAATTTACATAATGTACTTTCAATTTTAATTATTAATAGTTAAATATTAAATGAAAATTAATATTTGTAAATTTAAATTTGATATTATTAAAATTTCAGAAAATATTACAAAATCTTTATGATTATCTACTAATTTATTGATTCAACGATTCATTACTATTAAAAAATTCTTGTTAATTTATTAATAAATTAAAAGAGAATTATAAGCTAACAGTCAATATTTAAAATAAATACTATAATTCACAAGTATCTCGAAACAGCTTCGTCAACTTGATCTTCGTTAGAGGTTGGTGTACCCCATCCTCCACCACCGGGTGTACAAATGACAATACGATCACCTATGTTTACTTTAATAGTATTTTTACTTCCTAAATTAATGGTACGTACTTTATCACTATTTTCATCTTTGCGAATCCATAAATTAAGTCCTGTTGAACCGTCTTTACCGCCTTTTAATCCATAAGGATGGTGAACACGTCTTTCTGAAAGTATACTCACTTGAAGTGGTTCACGAAATTCAAGCTCACGTATTACTCCATCTCCTCCTTTATGAAGTCCTGCACCTCCAGAACCTGAAAATGAAATAAATAACTGAATATTGCGAACATTCATTAATCTACATGTTATATTAATGTTAATTACCTTTTCGAAGTGAAAATTCTCGTAATAGTATTGAATGATCATATCTTCTTTCAAGTATTTCTGGATCTGTAATTCTTGTATTTGTCATATGCTATAAATAAAAAGTTAAATTATGTAAAATATTTTGAAACATCCAATATATATAAATGTTTGAATTAAACGTACTACATGAACGCCGCTTTGGCCATTCCAGGTGGCCCCAGCCCCACTACCTTTAGTAAAAATAAAAGTCAATTTATAGAAATACATAAGAGAAACCGGAATTACAATTATTTACCTCCTGCAATTGTTTCATAATAACCCCATCCTTCTTCAACTTTTGTCCCATCGTCAGTTTTTCCGCCTTTACCGAAGGTAAGATTATTACAATCACCTTGACTAGCTGCACATGCTTGGAATGCTTTCAGAATAACATCAACAAGACGTTGTGAAGTCAGTACATTGCCACCAACAACAGCGGCTTTATCAGATGGGTTTAAAAGTGATCTTTCTGGAATCTTGATATCGATGGGAGAAAGGCATCCTTGGTTTAAAGGTATTTCATTTACAATAAGGGAACGAAGACAATAAATAATTGCACTATATGTGATCTTAAAAAAAAAAATTATATATTAACATGTATATTAAATGTAGAATTAGTCAAATAAATTTTAATAACATACAGAAGGTGGAGCGTTTGTATTTCCTATATGGAGAAAATAAGATTAATCAATGATCCTAGTAATTAAAAAATATATATATATAATTATTAAAATACCATAAACTTCTGGCCCGGTGCCTTGAAAGTCAAATTCTGCTGTTCCCTCTTTTTCATTAATCGTAATTTTTAACTGAATTGGACTTCCATCATCCATATAATCAACAGCTTTTAATATATTAGAGTCCATTCGACTACTCACATCTTTTAATAATTCTCTCACAGACAATTCAGCATTATATCTTATGTGCATCATATAAGCTTGAACAACATCTAGTCCGTACTCTTGAATGAGAGCTTTAACAAGTTTTATGCCTTTATGATTAGCGGCCACCTGAGCTTTAAGATCAGAAATATTGTCACGCAAACATCTTGTGCCACTACATCCGGGATATTTGGCAGGCTGATTTAAAAGGATGTCCACTATACCGTCATTATCAAACCTGCCCTTAGAAACAAGCTTAAATGATTTGACTGCAGCTCCTTCTTGGTATAATTCTTTCGAATTCGGCGGCATAGAACCTAAATCGATATCAAGTCAATATTAAATATATAATTATTGTAAGAATCAAAAAGGAATTTAATTGAATTGAATTTTCACCAGGTAAAATTCCACCAATATCTGCGTGATGTCCTCTAGACGCAACAAAAAACACAATTTTTCCTTCATTGAATACGGGCGTAATCACAGTAATATCTACAAAGTATGAATGCATAAATTAATTTTGATATATTAAATAACAATCAATTAAATCAATATTACCTGGTAAATGTGAACCGCCAGCCTGTGGATGGTTAGTTAAAATTACATCGCCATCTTCTAACTTATCCTTGTAATAGTCCATTTGATATTTCACGGCATGACTTAAACTACCAAGATGCACAGGAATGTGTGGTGCTAATTTTTAAAGCAAAAGATAATCAATAATTGATAATAGATTATAAAGGAAATAATATTTAAATATATTAATTATACCATTGGCAACTAAACCACCATCAGCTCCGAAAAGCGCACAAGAAAAATCTAACCTCTCTTTTATGTTTGTAGAAATAGAAGTTTTCTGTAAAGTGTTTCCCATTTGTTCTGCAATACTCATAAATCGATGTCCAAATATTGCAAGTTGAATGGGATCTAATTCAGTTGTGACCTTTGACTTTACATCACTTCCAACAGTAATCATTATATACGAAGAAGTAACCAACGCATTACATCCTGGAGTTACAATAATTGTAGAATTCGCGTCTATAATCATGGCGGGACCAGGAACTTTATCTCCGACTTTAAGATGCTCCAAAAGATATATTGGAGTTTCAAGTCTTCCACCTTCAAAATAAACAGAAATTTTCTCTTTACATTGAGAAGGATTCACTAACTTTTGATCGATCTTCTCGTCATGCCGTGTGATACTAGCATCCCCACCTATTCCACGAATCCTAATATCATCCACAAAAATTTCTCGATCTGGTAGCGTGAACCCAAATTCTTGTTGATATTGACTAACAAAAGCTCCTGAAAAATCCCAAGAATCTTTTGGTTTCAGGGTCATAAAAGCGAAATCAGTCCCCTGATAACGCAAATTTAGGTAGATTTCATGTTTAATAAGCGATTCATCTTTGAATCCTTGTGATTTAAGCTCTATTGTACATGCTTCACACAGGGCGTGAATTCTTTCTTTTATTTTTGGTAGTGACTTATCAGAATAAATTTCGGCACTTGGTTCTTGTACTTCATAAACAGCATCTGCTAACGACAAACCATATGCGGACAAAACTGAGCTATAACGATGAATCAAGATCTTTCGAATGCCCAAATTTTGAGCTATCGCGCATGCATGTTGTCCACCAGCTCCACCGAAACATGCAAGAATATGCATGGATGTATCATAGCCTTTAGCTTCAGTCAAAGCGCGTATTGGTCGACACATAGTTTCATTTGCAACTTTTATAAATCTTTTAAATTACATTAAAATTAGAAACGTAAATGCAAATAAGTTCAAAACTCTATATTAGCTTACCCAAATGCGATCTCATCCAAGCTCATTTCCTTATCACTTTTAATAAATTCATTAATCTCTTTTGACATTTCTTGAAACTTTTGAGTTGTTCCTTCTAAATCCAATGGTTGGTTTTCATCTGGTCCAAAGATTTTGGGAAAATAATCCGGGACAAGTCGACCAAGGATAAGATTTGCGTCAGTAACAGTTAAAGGTCCTTTTTTTCTATATATATGATTTAATGGTTTAGAGATTTAACGTTTTAACATGAAGAACAAGCTATTTGTTTTACTAACCTATAGCATGTGGGTCCGGGATGTGCGCCAGCACTCTATAAAGATAAAAAGAAGAGTTCAGTTACGATTTAATAAGACATTTGTATATGCATTATCCTTTTATCCATAATCAAGAAAATGTTATGAATACCTCTGGACCAACAACAAACATTCCATTGCGAAAAAATAGACGCGAACCACCGCCAGCAGCAACCTATGAATCAAAGTTTATAAAATGTAAGTAAAAAGATAAAACATATTACAGTATATTTTGATCAAAATATTATACCGTATTGATATCCAGCTGAGGAGCCTGAATTGTTACACCTGCAGTTGTTGTTTCAAATACATGCTCGTAATGACCATCATATCGAGACACATCTGAATTAAATTCTCTGTTAATTGATAAATGTCAAGAACAAACCGAATGAATTTATTGAGGAACAAATATTATACCTGTGCTTGTTCCTCCCATATCAAATCCAATAACTGGGATTTTTTCATTTTCGTTGTATGAAGTTAAGGCATAACCTATGTTCATTTAAAAAATTTCTTGATTACGCGAGAATTTCTTTTTAATAAAGAATTTTGCAAAAATAAAATGAAATACTATACCAACAACCCCGGCAGCAGGACCTGATAATATTGCTCTAAAACCGGAAAATTTATTAACTGGTACAAGACCACCATCACTCTGCATAAATTCCAATCTGGCATTTTTCGTTAAATTTTCATCAAATCCAGAAACAAACCCATCAATATATTTCCGAATACAAGGTGTTAAATACGCGTCAGCTGTAGAAGAGGTTCCACGAGGAACAATTTTAATCATTGGCATTATGGAAGATGATAATGAAATATGCGTGAATCCTATAGATGTTGCAATTTCTCCCAACAAACGTTCATGTTCTTAAAAAAGGTTAAGTGATTAATATTTTTAGTTATGAACACTGATAAAAACTAATCCAAATTGATTCAAACCTGGATAAGTGTATGAATGCAACAGACAAATCGCAACGCTTCTAAAATCATCATCATATAAAGATTGTAAATCTTCTTTGACTTTTTCTAAGTCTTGATTGTTTTTTAAAAAAAAAACATGTTAACTTATTGTGAACAATGAATTACTTTATAATTAGAATATAATTATATACCTGGCTTTTTGAATATCTTTACGTATTCTCCAGAAACTCCTTGGAATATATCTTTTGAAGAATTTAATCCTTCAGAAACCAGGGAGACTCTTTTATATATACACGCACATATATATATTAGATTTATATTAAAACCAAAATTTTTAAATATAGGCAATAAATTAATACCGTTCATCAACCTCAACAACACGTTGATATAGAACATCGGGTTTACGAATAGCAAGATCAAAGATTTTTGGGCGAGTTTGATTGCCTATTTAAGCAAAAAAAAAAAATTTTCTAACCAACTTTAACATTCTCTAACTATCGTAACCACCTTTGAATTATATAGTTCATACCAATCAATAAGAGATCCTATTTAATTTATTTTTAAGTATGGTAAATTTTGTGATCAAAACAAGAATCGGCATAGATAAAAAGTTAATTATGATGCGATTTTTACCTTAAATCCTTTGGTAATTAAAAGTGCACATCTTTCTCCTTTTCTTTCCAAAAGTGCATTTGTAGCAACTGTTGTTCCCATACGAATAGATTCTGGTAATAAAACATTAAAACATTTTATAGAATAAAAATTATAATTTTACAAAAATTTTATTCAATTGATCTTTTTCACTATAAATTATCTTTAAATTGTTATAATATCTTTATAATTATAAAAGGAAGAAAATCCTTTATATTATTATTGTTATGAAATATGTTGTGGAACCTATAAAATATAGTTAGTTAATTTTATAGTTAATCAGAATATTTACCAATTAGCGAAGTTTCTACGGGTTTATCCTTAGGAAAAGATTTTCCAGAAGCTATTTCCAAAATTCTTCTAATACCTTCTCGAGGAGCATCAGGATAATTTTGAGGATCTACGCTTAATAATTTAACTACTATTTCTTTTCGACCTGTTGGATATTCTTCTGATATTGGAACAGGAATACTTCCAATACAATCCGTAAAAGTTCCTCCTCTATCTATGCAAATCCTGATTCCGCCCTGAGTTTTCGTTGTCATGATTTTCTAATATTATATAAATTTTGTATTGAAGAAATGGAAATGATTAAATGATTTAACTAACTATCCGATGATCCAAAAATGTGCTTTATATAAAAAAAAGCAAAAAAGATCATCAAGCTTAATTATTGTAATACAAAGCATACTAATCAACTAGATATTATTGTGTTATTTCCTTTTAGGCGCAATACCTCCATAGGTTATCAGTTATGAGATGAAGGTTAAAAATAAAGAAATAAAACACAATCAACTTTAGTTAGACCGTCAGGGGCTAAGTGCTCAAGTATCTATTTATTTGATTTTATAATGAATGGAAAGAAATTTAAACCTCATCTCATTCATAAATACAAAAGTCCGAGTCAAAGTGTCAAACTCCGGCGGTAAACAAAACAGATGCTGACGCGTTTATTTATTCGACAAGTTTGAAAATTCTTAAAAATTCTAGAAATCTTCTTTTCATTATCTTTAAAATTCTTTGTTAATATCGTAGCATAATTATTTTATAGTGTAGCACGTATATTCAAATCATATGCGAGTGGCGAAAAAGCGTAAAAGATGGAATAGATCAAATGATCAATTCACTAGTGTTATGCAAAAATATATATAAGGAAGGTTAAATGCATAAGATTTTTAATTAATTTATTAACTGTTCAATACTAATTTGTGAGGCTGCGGACGGAAAAAAAGTCAAAAGATTGCCGATAGAAGAAAGAAACAATTACTTCTTAACAATAACAATAAAATTGGTAGTTTTCAGGCTATGAAGATGAAAGCTTTCGTACTTGGCAAATTCGAATTGTCGACTATTTTCCTTTATTCCTACTCCTAAAGCTAATTTTTTAATTATAAGGTTTACGAAATACAATTATTATAAATAATTTAAACGTTGTACAACTTAGGAAATTCTCAATTAAGAGTGATTAATTCATAAAATAAAAAATCAGAATTTGATCATTTTAATTATTTTAATTTCTTCCTGAATGGAATAGCTTTCTTGAAGATAAAACAATAGTAACTTTTTCCCTCTTCAAGAAATGTACAAACAAAGAATTCAAAATGGTCAAACAGCCGAAGCGAATCTCCTTCGATCATGATTCAAATCAGCAAGAACACAATATTGACCTACTAAACGTTTAAGGGATATTTGTTAAGGAAGTAGAGAGTATGAACTTATTGAAGGTAGGTTGATTTAAATAACAAACTACTAGACATATATAAAGTACATTCTTTGGCCGAATTATAATACACTTGACTGCGGCTATGTAAATTTTCTTATATGTTAATAGCAGCTTAAAAAGTTTCGACTCGTTTTCCTTTGTTGTTTAAGTTGGGAACGTACATTGAATCAATTCAAGAATATTTAATAATTCAATAAGCCAGTTATTACAGTCATTAGGGACATTGCGGCTGACCGTTCTTTACATAATGTGTTTTGGCTTTTTAAACCAAATAAATTTAGGATATGTATTGATGATCGAATATTGTTAATTTGATAGAATGATGAGCTGGAAGTGGTTTTGTTGAATCTTTGACGACTGACGGCTTTTAAATTCAACTTTAAGGATAGTGTAATTAGTGTATGGTGCTTACAGTGTGCTTACTATATTACCACCAATGCACAGCGAAAATTTTGAGCACGTGATCATCAAAACTTTAGAGTAACGTGATTCGTGACTTTCTTTCAAAAAGACAGTTTCAAAAATTAACATTTAACAGATTAGACGACGATAAAAACAATAGTTCTTTAAATTTTATTTTTTTTTAAATGGTAATTAAATTTATTTTGTATTTTATGTAGTCAAGATTATAACAATGTGTTACCGCTCACTTTGGGAACTTTCGTAATAAATGCTATTTTACAAGAAGAAACAAATAAAAAATTTTTTTTTATTATATTTAAAATGGCAACATAGTATCAAAATAATATTAATAATTCATTGTAAAGAGAAAATGGGTCTATAATAAATTAATAATTATCCCGGACAGAAGTTAGTTTGCAGTTCTATAATAATATAATGTATATACATGGTATTAAATATTATGCAAAAATATTACGTTTTTAACTATATGTATTAAGAATTATTATATTTTCTGTGAACATTTCCTTCGATAATATTTCTTGGTGCTCTTCTTCCTGTCCATTCTTCAAATTGGCATAAACCTTGTTCAATTAAAACTTGTACTCCTTCAACACCTATCCATCCATTTTCAGCACCCTTTTCTAATAATTGAGTTCTTCTTGGTTTATATGCCATTTCAACTATTACACCCCCTTTACCAGATGCAAAAAGTTCATAAGGAATTTCTATATTAGAAGTCGCAGGAATAGTAGACACGATTATTCGTGGAGGTTTTTGTTTTATTCGTTCATCAGAAAGTGATGACAAACCAACAATTCCATATTTAGGAAATTGATTTTTTAATTCTTCAATCTTAGCTTGCGTACGATTATATAAATAAATCGTATGTACTCCAAGTTGATGTAGTGCATATATTCCCGCACGAGAAGTTCCACCTCCTCCAATAACTAAACCTATTGTTTCGGAATTGATTTCAATTAAAGGTTTGATCGAAGAATAAATTCCTAACCAATCTGTGTTTTCTCCGATTAATTTACGTCCAGTTTCACTTTCGGTGACGATAATTGTGTTCACCGCCCCTATTAATTTAGAATGTTCAGATATTTGATCTAAAAATGGAATAATGCTTATTTTATGCGGGATTGTCACTGATGCACCTCCAAACTCAATATCTTCGATAATGGGCTTAACCGCTTCAATATCTTCGGATTCAAATAAATCATAATGATGTGGTAAGCCTAATACTTCAAAACCAGTGTTATGAAGTGTAGGTGACATAGAATGAGCTATAGGATTTCCAAAGATATAAAATTTTTTCTTTGGTAATTGGCCGATTAAATGGAGGCCCTTGTGAATTTCGTTAACAGAAAGTTGACCAGGAGCAGCTTTTGATGGAAGCAATGGATGGGTAACAGGAGTAAGCGTTTGATTTAGTAAACGAGAAAGTTGTCCTTCAACTTCCATGTTAATTGCAATAACTGGTTTCTTAATATGCTGTTGTTGCCATTCAACAAATTCTCGTAATTTAAAATTATCGGAAAGACATTTCGCACGTCCAACTATTTTAATGATATCACCAATATTATGGGCGGTTCTAACCCGTCGTCTAACTTCTTCACCATCCCATTTCATAATACCAGGAATATCATGCCAAGAAGCAATTATTTTAGTATTCCCTTTCATTTTAATCAAATTATCTATCAGTTTTGGAGATTTATGGATTTCTACATCTATATACTCGCATCCATTCTTGATAGCTTGCTCCAGAAGATTAAAATATTCTGTTTCTTGCGTATCAGGATATTTTCCACCTTGACTTTGCGACCTTATGGTGAAAATAATTGGAAGTGATGATGAACGTCTTAAACTTGCTAATTGATCATGAATGTATTCAACAGAAGGCATGTCTCCATTTTCTGAAAGCAAATCCACTCTTAGTTCAATTGCATCCACTCCGTGAGTAATGGTAGGCATAATTTTTAATGCGGGAGTTATATCCGGAAAAGTTAAGGAAATAAAAAATGTACGCCTCGTTTTTCTAATAATTTCGACAATATTTTCAACAGTCATCCCACCGATTGTATTGATTGTATTGACATCAACATTTGAGCACTCATTATATAATGTTTTACGTCTATTCCAGACGTTAAATAAATCTTCACTAAGCATTGGACGCGAAGTGTCTTTATTCAAATATCTGATTACATCATTCATATCTCTTACAATATGAACAACTTCACCATGATTTTGTGAATATTGTTTCAAAAGCTCACGTGATGCTGGATGTTCAACTATACCTCCGCCACATGCTATAATATAATCTGAAGCATGTGTATTTAATAACGATCGAAGAATTTCAGATTCTTTATCACGAAAAGCATCCCATCCATGTTCTTCGATAAATTTGGGTATCGGAGTCGATAATGTGGCCTCAAAATGATGGTCTAAGTCGAGAAATTCCCGATCTAACGCTTTTGCAACTTCTCTTCCTAATGTAGTCTTGCCAACGCCACGCATACCAATGAAAATAATACTATCGTGATGTGATCCACTATCAATACCGACAGTATTTATTCCTAACTTAGATTCTAAGTTATCCCACCACCCAGGCCAAGTTTTCTCTACACATTTTTTCTCACGAATAATTGTGCCATCTGGAACAACACATCCAAGTGTACTAAAACTCATTGCAATGCGATGATCGTCAAAACATTTTACACCACCTACAGGACCTTTGAGGGATTGAATTTTAGACCCATGTATTTGAATACCATCAGGAAGTTCAGATGCAATTACTCCAAACTTGTTTAACTCATGAACCATCACTGAAATTCTATTACACTCCTTAACGCGTTGATTGGCAATTCCGGTAATTCGAGTTATGCATTCTTCTTCATTATTCGATGCGACTGCAGCCAAGACAGATGCTGTTAAAAATGCGTCAGTCATCGTTTCCATATCAATATTGGGTAATGGACGTAATGATCCAATAGGAGGACCTTGAACTGTAGTACTTGTCTCAGTTTGAGTGACAGTGCAACCCATTGGTTCTAATACTTTAACAGCAAATGCAGCATCACCTTGAAGAGATGTTGATCCAATATTTGGGAGAGTGCATGTAATTCCAGTGATTGCAGCTACGGCTAATGGGTAAGTGGCAGAACTAGCATCTGATTCAATTACATATTCACTAGGATTTGTATATTTTCCTTGTGGAATACGGTAAACATTACCTTCAAGTCGTTCAACCTTAATACCAAATGATTCCATCATTGCAATTGTCATATCAATGTATGGCTGAGAAACAACCTTATCTCCGGTTAAAGTTAAAGTTACAGGTTCAGAAGCATAAGGTGCACTCAACAAAATAGATGTAACATATTGAGATGAGATAGATGCAGAGAGATTTATTTCGCCACCTTTGAATTTGTTTTGTGATGGAGTTATTTCAATAGGAAGAGATCCTTCATTTTCGACATAACGAATCTGAGATCCATTTTCTTGAAGTGCCATAACTAAAGGACCAATCGGACGTTGCTTCATACGAGCGTTACCAGTTAAAGTGGTGAGTTTTTTTTGATTAGCCGTTTCAGCTGATATTAAAGTACAGACTGTAGTAAGGAATCTTGAGGCTGTTCCCGCGTTTCCAAGATAAAGTTCATCATCAGGAACTTGAAGATTGCCGCCACCACCAGTAACAACTAAAGTTTCGCCATCATTCTCCCATTCAAACTTTGCTCCCTTTAATTTTTGTAAAGCAACCATCATCACTTGAGTATCATCCGAATATAACAGACCTTTAAGTCTACAAGTCCCATTTCCTAATGCTGCTAGAACTAAAGCTCTATTTGAAATGGATTTTGACCCTGGTGTCGTCATTGTAACATGAATTGATGAATTATTTGAAGATGATGTAACAGGTAGAATTTTGATCGAGGGTGATAAAATTTTACGAATCACGGAATCAGAAACAATGGTCGCCTTTTTCTCATAAGTATTTCCAATGGATGAGAGCATAACTATTCTTTTTTGATCTCCTTGATTTTTCTTATCAACCTTCATAATTTCCATTAATTTATCAACTGAACAAAATTTCTTGCCAACCAAATCTTTGACTTTTTTTTCATCTAATGAGACTGGTAAGCCGTAATCTTGTAAAACCTTATACAATCTACTAACAGAAACTTGATTGAGATGACCATGATGTCTAGCAATTTCCGCTTCCTTAATCATTCCTATTGAAATACATTCTCCGTGAAGTAATTCCGGAAATAGAATGGCTTCAACGGCATGTCCAATCGTATGACCAAAATTAAGTAAACTACGGATCCCGCTATCTCTCTCATCATCTGTTACAATCCCAGCTTTAAATTTAGCTGCTTCCATAATTACAGATAATAGCAAGGATTGTGAAGGAGTTCGAGTTGCCAGTGTCGCACCTAACATTGTTATTTATAGGTTAATTTATACAAAAATTTTTTAATGTTTTGATCAAGTAAAAAAATAAATTAAAATTTCTACCTTGAAATGACACATCTCTTTTAGGATTTGAAAATACTGCTTCACGAATACTCGATACGCCATTTTCTAAATTAATAAAATTTGGTTCACTGCTAATTATTGCAGATTTTATAACTTCAGCCATCCCATTATTAAATTCTCTTTCCGGAATGGTTTCCAAAAATACTAAATCAATATAAATTCTTTTCGGCTGCCAAAAAGATCCAATTAAATTTTTGCCATGCGGTGTATCAACAGCTGTTTTACCCCCAATTGACGAATCCACCATAGCAATTAAAGTGGTTGGAATTTGAACATAAGGGATACCCCTCATGAAAGTGGCTGCAACAAATCCGGCCAAGTCACCTATAACACCACCACCCATCGCTAAAATACATGTGTCTCTTGCGCATGCTTTACTAAGAAGAAAATCTTCAATATCAGCTTTGGTATCTCGTGTTTTTGCTCGTCTAACTGATGGAACAGCATAAGTAATTAATCTTGGTTCCGGTGTCTTTTTATCTTTTGCTGACGTTATTTCTGATGCAATTTTATTAAAATTTTCTTTTATTTTTGTGAGGTAAATTGGTGGTAGATTTTCATCAGTAATGATTACATAATTAGATGAAGGAATATTAGATATCACATCTCGTAACATGAATTTTGTTAAATGAAATCCCAAAATTATTGATTCTTCATTTAAAATAGAAACCTTCACCACATCTGGTTCGGGTTGTTCTAATAATGTCATTTTTGTATATTAACGGTCAAAATTTTTTTTTAAATAATTTTTTTTTTAATTCGGTTTATTTATACGTTTATTTATAATCAATAAATTTAAATTAAACAGGTTTTTAGCTAGAAATCTGCATAAGCCCCACATGATAATCAATTAAATCAATTTAATCAATTATTACTGATTATGACTACAACGATAATAAAATATAATTTTTTTCTGATAATTTTTGATACTAAAAACTTATCGGGGAATTTTCTGATTTAACCAGATTTTATTATAAGAGCCATAGAAAATTTATTAACGAATGAATTGAAATTGCGAGTCCGGATCGTATCTGATCCAGATCGGTTCTGAAGTAAAATGGATTTGATTCAATACTATGAAACATTAATGTATGATTTTTCCATTTTAAGGAGTATTCACAATAGTATCATTATTGTAAAAATAAAAATAAATTTGGAATTATATTATAATCAATAATAATTGTAGATTTTGATTAGTTGGCATACAATGTTATAGATGAATGGTTATGATTTAATTAAAACATAACCCAGATTTGTGTATCTGCACCAAATATTGGTCAAGAGTTTATTAACTTTTACTTCAATAACGATTTAACAGGAACAAATATAAACGAAATACACTCTTGATTTGATTCCGAATTAATTATTAATTCGCACTATAGTAAATATAGGAAATAATAGTTGTAGTAGCTTGCCGGTATTATGATTGTATTACGGTTGCATATTGTCATAACTATTGTCATATTATTGTCTGTAAAGTGGATGTTTTTTAGTAACAATTGATTTGTATCATGCACATTTAGCATATTTATTTTTATAATTAGATTGTCTGATTATTAAATATAACACATACTATGTAATGTTACGGCGATTTGACCGGAGGAAAAAAAAAGACATTGAAAAAGCAAAAGAATTTGCAAGAATACATGTAACTAATCTGCATCCAAATTGTGAATTAGGTAAGGATGAATTAAAAAATTGAAGTTTAATACATATATTAATATCTCACTCGAATACTAACTAGATTGCAAAAATAGGTACTTTGTTATCTTTGGCATTTGTAAGCTATTGGATCTCCTAATAAGGAAAAGAATTAGTTCGCACGCCTTGCGTAATTGAAATTTTGCCTAGTAAAGTTCGGAACAACTGAGAAGCTAACATAATTGATACACCAATGATGTCTATACATATCCAACAATGTATCTTCCTAGTGTATAAAATCTGGAAAAAATTTCATGTGCATATGTGCACAAGAAAAATTTTTTGTGTACAAAAATGCACGTTAAATTTTAAAAATTGGGTACACCAAAAAAAATGTGCACATGAATTTTATACGCTGCCCGGGATTATTCTTTTTTTTATTCCTAAGTATCATAAAGAAAATAGTACACTATCACAATACTAAAGGAAAGTTAAAAAAAAAAAGCAAGAGGGTGGAATAATATCTTACTGGAAAGAATGCTAAGAGCAAGGGATGCAAGAATACTAATTACTAAAGCATGTTGGGACAAGGAGAAATAGAATGATCCAAGATTCCAAAGATATTAATAATCAAGAATTTTCATAATGTACAAATACTCAGTATCATAGCAAATAATAATATTTTCTTTCGTAAAGTTATATTACATTTTGAATTCAAAATCTTCACTTCGATATAATATTTTTCTCTTAAATCTGGATCTAGGCGCAAATAAACTTTAATTTCGATTAACCAAAAATCATATCAAAAAAACTTTGTGAAATTACTAACTAATGAATTAGCTTACCAGGTTGGATCCAAGCTGACTTTTGCATGCTAATTGAAAGTCGAATCTATCTAGGAATTTAGATCTGTCTTGCTACAAAAAGAAGTTTCATAAATCATTATATGTACTGTATTTTAACACATACGTTGAATTTCAAACATATCATCGTTAACAACGAGAAAATTTTCACAGAAAATTATAATTAGCGGGATGCATTTGATTAAAAAAAGATATACTCTTTCTACTATAAATTATATTACATGATCAATTAACGATTATCCGTTCGCTAATTATTTACTACTTTTAATATTACAAGCTTAAAGATAATTTAAAGTCTCGCCACCAATAATATGAAATAAAAACTTATCCTAAGCTTCATTATGATTTAATAAATCATCACTTGACCCAAAATCAACTCCAAGAAAATTCATTCCTAACTTATTTTCTAAATCATCCCACCAACCAGGCCAAGTTTTCTCTACACATTTTTTCTCACGAATAATTGTGCCATCTGGAACAACACATCCAAGTATACTAAAACTCATTGCAATGCGATGATCATCATAACATTTTACGCCACTTATAGGGCCTTTGAGGGATTGAATTTTAGACCCATGTATTTGAATACCATCAGGAAGTTCAGATGCAATTACTCCAAACTTGTTTAACTCATGAACCATCGCTGAAATTCTATTACACTCCTTAACGCGTTGATTAGCAATTCCGGTAATTCGAGTTATGCATTCTTCTTCATTATTCGATGCGACTGCAGCCAAGACAGATGCTGTTAAAAATGCGTCAGTCATCGTTTCCATATCAATATTGGGTAATGGACGTAATGATCCAATAGGAGGACCTTGAACTGTAGTACTTGTCTCAGTTTGAGTGACAGTGCAACCCATTGGTTCTAATACTTTAACAGCAAATGCAGCATCACCTTGAAGAGATGTTGATCCAATATTTGGGAGAGTGCATGTAATTCCAGTGATTGCAGCTACGGCTAATGGGTAAGTGGCAGAACTAGCATCTGATTCAATTACATATTCACTAGGATTTGTATATTTTCCTTGTGGAATACGGTAAACATTACCTTCAAGTCGTTCAACCTTAATACCAAATGATTCCATCATTGCAATTGTCATATCAATGTATGGCTGAGAAACAACCTTATCTCCGGTTAAAGTTAAAGTTACAGGTTCAGAAGCATAAGGTGCACTCAACAAAATAGATGTAACATATTGAGATGAGATAGATGCAGAGAGATTTATTTCGCCACCTTTGAATTTGTTTTGTGATGGAGTTATTTCAATAGGAAGAGATCCTTCATTTTCGACATAACGAATCTGAGATCCATTTTCTTGAAGTGCCATAACTAAAGGACCAATCGGACGTTGCTTCATACGAGCGTTACCAGTTAAAGTGGTGAGTTTTTTTTGATTAGCCGTTTCAGCTGATATTAAAGTACAGACTGTAGTAAGGAATCTTGAGGCTGTTCCCGCGTTTCCAAGATAAAGTTCATCATCAGGAACTTGAAGATTGCCGCCACCACCAGTAACAACTAAAGTTTCGCCATCATTCTCCCATTCAAACTTTGCTCCCTTTAATTTTTGTAAAGCAACCATCATCACTTGAGTATCATCCGAATATAACAGACTTTTAAGCCTACAGGTTCCATTTCCTAATGCTGCTAGAACTAAAGCTCTATTTGAAATGGATTTTGATCCCGGTGTCGTCATTGTAACATGAGTTGATGAAATATTTGAAGATAATGTAATAGGTAAGACTTTTATAACGGGTGATAAAATTTTACGAATCACGGAATCAGAAACAATGGTCGCCTTTTTCTCATAAGTACTTCCGAGGGATGAGAGTATAACTATTTTTTTTTGATCTCCTTGGTTTTTCTTATCAACCTTCATAATTTCCATTAATTTATCAACAGCACAAAATTTCTTGCCAACCAAATCTTTGACTTTTTTTTCATCTAATGAGACTGGTAAGTCGTAATCCTGTAAAACCTTGTACAATCTACTAACAGAAACTTGATTGAGATGACCAAGATGTCTAGCAATTTCCGCTTCCTTAATCATTCCTATTGAAACACACTCTCCATGAAGTAATTCCGGAGACAAAATGGCTTCAATGGCATGTCCAATCGTATGACCAAAATTAAGTAAACCGCGAAGTCCACTTTCTCGTTCATCATGTGTTACAACATCAGCCTTAAATTTAGCTGATGTCATAATTACAGATAATAGTAATGACTGTGAAGGAGTTCGGGTCGCAAGTATTGCACCTAAACATAATTCAAAATAACAAAATCATTAAAGTTTTTATTTCTACTACAGCTAGTACTATAACATGTTTACATGTTTACATGATATTGATTTAGTATAAAATAAACTACCTTGATATTGTACATTTCTTTTAGGACTTGAAAATACTGCTTCACGAATACTTGATACTCCATTTTCCAAATTAATAAAATCTAATTCACTGCTAATTGCCGCAGTCTTTATAACTTCAGCCATCCCATTATTAAATTCTCTCTCAGGTAAAGTCTCCAAAAACATTAAGTCAATATAAATTCTTTTCGGCTGCCAAAAAGATCCAATTAAATTTTTACCATGTGGAGTATCAACAGCTGTTTTACCCCCAATTGATGAATCCACCATAGCGAGTAAAGTGGTTGGAATTTGAACAAATGGAACGCCTCTCATGAAAGTAGCTGCAACAAATCCGGCCAAATCACCTATAACTCCACCACCCATAGCCAAAATACATGTATCTCTTCCGCATGCTTTACCAAGAAGAAAATCCTCAATTTCAGCTTTTGTATCTCGTGATTTTGATTGCTCACCTGGTGAAATAATATACGTAATCAATCTTAGTTTTGTAGTATTAATCAAATTTAATTTTGATGCAACTTTTTCAAAATCAGTAATAATCTTTGAAAGATAGATCGGTGCAATATTTTTATCGGTAATAACTACATAAGTAGATGAAGGAATATTAGATAATATATCTCGTAACATAAATTTTGTCAAATGAAATCCCAAAATTATCGATTCTTCGTTTAGAATAGAAACTTTGACTACTTCTGGTTCAGGTTGTTCCAGTAATGTTCCCATTTTTTATAGTCAAAGTAAAAAGAATAGAAAATTTGAATAAGGAGGAGAGCCCCTCAATCTAGTACTTCGATCCGTAGCGGTTTTATCCGGTTTTTCATCCGTATTGAATTTCATTAAATTTCGCTGGAGCTATGAGTTTGGGCAGAATTAGTATAAATTTTTGGGATAATAATACTTTAATGTTGGTCTAAATTATAGTCTGTTTAAATCCGAGATTCACAGCCGGATCGAAGCCTTAATTTTATCAATTTTTATCAATTATCTATCTAGTATCTACCTTTTATGCGTAACACATGGCTATGGCACTTTGTGGCTTATGGTCAATTACCGTTTCAATGACGGAACTTCTAAAACTATATAAATTGTACGAATTAAAGTTCATGTACACGCTTATACGCAGGCGATAATAGTATTTTTGTGTTTCTTCTAATTTATATTCTGTGTCCAAGTTGATTATACTATGTGTGTTTCAAACCATTTATTATTTGCCGGTTACCAATAATTATTTAAACCAATAATATCTAATTTCGTAATGATAAGCAGTAGATCTATAAATTCAAGATCGGCTAATCATAATTAGCGACCATTTTTTATTTTTATTGATAAACGTTCACAAAACAATGTTTCTGTAACAAATAATAGCTAACTGAATAAGCTGGGACTAAATATTAAGTAAGTGTATTTGTAAATTATTTATCTAAATATGATATTTAATATAAAATAATTTTATTCATATAATTTCATATAGAAACTATGATACGTGATTTTAATAATATAGCATTGTATTTATCATTATGTGTGCTAAGATTATGGTGCACCACTTTACCTGGATATATTCATCCTGATGAATTTTTCCAATCTCCTGAAGTTATGGGTGGTTTGTATCATATTTTTTATTTTAATTGATCTAAAATAAAAGATAAAATATTATGAATTTTTATATAGGAGATGTTTTTGGGTACGAAGTTTTCAGACCTTGGGAATTTGAACAAAGTCCTCAATGTAGATCAATAGTTATACCGTGAGTACTTGTGTAATTTTTGCATTTCGGCATTTAATCTTAACATAATTTTATAACAACTATGGAGTTTTTAGAGCTTTAACTATAGGACTTCCCTTCAATATTTTGAAAATATTAAATGTGTGGGCAATTAAATTTGGATATGGTGGTAATTTTAATTGTTTCATATTATATTTTTGTTTTGTTTTTTTTTCTTAGGAGGTCATGATTACAAAATATTTTATTATTTAATTAGATATAATAAATTCACATTCTGTATTTATAACTGAAAGATTGTCATTTTTCTTCTTATCATTTGGTATAGGTAAAAATTTAACTGAAAGTAATTTCTTAATTTTTTTAAAGAACTATTCTAAAATAGATGTTTTTGTCTTTATAGATTACACTGTGTACACAATTGCTCAACTATTTTACCCTAACAATGCAATACAGTCATTATTAGTACTTGCATCTTCCTATGTTGTCCTTATATTTAACACACGACCTTTTTCAAATTCCGCCGAGTTAATTTTATTAGCACTTTTATTTTGTACATATGTGAAAGGATCAACACCAAAATTTCCGTTGCGACGACAACCTGGAGATTCTTCTACTGATAGAGTATGATATGGTTAAATTAAAGAATACTTAATCCTCATATCTTACATTAAGGCAAATTTAATTATTATATAGGATGAATTTCCGGTAAACCTTGCATTCCTATTTGGTTGTATTGCAGCTTTTGGCTTCTTTACTAGGATTACATTTATTTTATATGCTTTTCCTATCGGAATTGCTTTTCTTCACTATATATTTTTATCTGCAAGAGCACAAGGGAAATCTTGGTGTGTGAATTATAAAGTATCAACTTTAAGCAAAAAGAAGTATTTTTTTATTATTATTTATATCTTAATGTTTGATTTAGGCATAGCAAATTCTCTGAACTATTTCCAGCATGTTTAGGATTAGTTACTACTACAGGAATATGTGTATTAGCTGATTCTTTATATTTTGGCACATTAAAAGTTACGTTTGGTGGAGTTATTCTTAACAACGATCATATATTTGAATTCTTGAGTAATCCAGCAAAATTTATGAAAATTGGATGGCATGTATGTATAATTTGCAGTTTTTTTTCTTCTTTTAAAAATTATTAATTTTTTTTTCCGTTAAATAATTTAGGGTAAATTTATTATCACTCCATTGAATAATTTTATATATAATATAAATTCCGAAAATTTATCTCAACATGGATTACATCCTAGATATTTGCACATTTATAATTTTGTATTATTATTCGGCCCACTTACATTGTTAACTATGAAAGACCTTAATGTTAGTGTAAAGTTTATGAGATGGACAGCTAAAAGGACATATAAAACTGGTAATAATCCCAATTAATCTATATATGATTTATCCAAATTAGTATTCTTATTCTGAAATTTCAGATGTTATTTTTCATTTCTGCTTTCCTTTTTTTTATTAAGTGATTGTTTATAGTGGATTGTTTGGATTTGTACTCTTAACACTTATTCCACATCAAGAAGCAAGATTTTTGTTACCACTTTTACTTCCTGTTATAATCGTACCATCGGATAGGTTACATAAGCTTCCTATTTTATTCTGGGTAAAATTTATTTTAAATTTTGTTATATCAAATCCTTTTATAATTAAATTAATTTATATGTATTTATAGGCTGTTTGGGTTATATTTAATTTAGTCTTCGTCGTAATATTTGGAGGATTACATCAAGCAGGAATCGTCCCTATAATGCAAAAATTACAAAATCAGTCATTGGGATTTAAACATTGTAAAAATATTAATGGATATTTTCGTTGTGAATTGGGAAAGAAAATAACTAATCCAGGTATTATTAATTGAGCTAGTTTTAAAAAATATTGTAAACTTATGTTTAATTTAATTTACAAATTTTAATTTACAGTAAAAAATCAATCTGAAATTTTTACTACTAATATAATATTTTATAAAACCTATATGCCACCACACCATTTACTTGGTTATCCTAAATCATGGAGAGGTTATTATTATTTTAATTTATAGTTTTATTTATAATTTTTTTTTTGATTATAAAATATTGTTTTTTTATAATAGGTACAAACATTCAAGTTAATATTTATGATTTGGCTGGTTCTTCATTAAGTAATCTAGGAAATCTGTTATCTGAACAAGTGTTATCTAAAAGTTCTCTAGTTGATAATATATGGAAAGGACATATAATTTTTCAACAAAATAATAAAAATTCCACTAATTTTGAAAGGTAATTTACTTTAATTAGTTTTTTAAAAAGAATTTATATAATTGTATTAAATGCATTACTTTTTATAGAACATTGTTAGTAACACCATCTACAACAGAATTATCCCCATTATTTATTGAATCTTATAACGAATTTATATCAATTGGAGATCATAATGGTAATAAAAAAATGAGATTAAAATTAATTGAACAGCAATGGCCACATATTAATTTTGATCATCTTGATAGAATAATTGCTAAAGGAATGTATTTAAATATTTATTTACTTATTAGTTTTTCAGATTAATTTTATTAAATGTATTAAAGTTATAAAATAGAAATTTTTATTATTATAATATTTAACTTTAATGTATATATAAAAATAAATAAATGATTAAAAAAAAATTTGTATAGTAGTAGTGCGTCCGAGTCCTGAATACACTGATTAGAATCTCGTTGTTGAAGTTCGACGGTTCTGTTGAATGAAGTTTGAAGTACAGATTTCAAATTGGCCTGTACGGAAGTGACCTTGCTCCCAGAGACTCGGAAATATTCCATTATTAATAAAAAATGAATAATCGGAATTTCTACTGTATAATGGAATAAAATGTTATTTTAGGCACGTGATATATAGCCAATCATAATTGCAGGTGTATATTTCAACATCAAAAATGCCCTCTTCTACAGTTGTGTTTTCTCGCGTGCGCGTGATTATTTTTTTACTGATAATGGGAAACAAAAGAAAAAAAGAGCAAAAGGACAACCAACTATTCAAACTATTGTTGATTGCATCCGAAACGAAAAAATATTATATACAATTTAGTGGATGCATTTGTAGCGGCTGATATTCCATTAGAAAAAGTGGCTAAACTTCAAAATTGGTTGCATGAACATTGTAATGAAGGAGGGTTTATTCTAAAATAGGTACTTTGCGCCGTGAATATTCACCAAAATTATTTGAAAATCATATTAATCAACAAGGAATGTACAACAAAATTGGTTCATGTTGATTATTTAGAAAGTGTTAATAATTGTACAATTGGACAGTTAATATTTCAAATTTTTAGTTCAATGGGAAATTCCTTTTGAAAGTGTTATCGTGATGTATTAAAACCACTAATGCCACAACTAATTCATTTAATTCATTTGCCTTGTTTAGCACTAAATCTTATTGGGTTAGTATATTTATAATTAATGTACACTATTGAATATTCTTGAAATAATTTACCGGTATTTAATTTTAGAGAAGCATGGGCGTCAATACAAAAGATGTAACACCAGGTTTCGTATGGCATTTTATGTATATCAACACTTGGATTATATTCGTGGATTTATAATGAAGAAAACAAAACAAAGAAAATCCATCATCAATTGTAAGAAATAAATTCAGTTTTTACCGACCAACAATCCAATGGACGCATTGAAATCTATTTAGCATTTATTCAGGAAAATGCACAACAATTGTAGCTGAATATTGACTTTTTTCAACAAGAAAATAAGCCAATATTTCCTTTTATTGAACAGAGATACAACAACTTGAAGCACGAATAATTATGGGGACAACTATGACTGATTTTGGATCAGCTATGGATTTAGTATTTAATTCTCCTTTATCATCATTTTGTCCGGTATTTCAAAAAGCGTATGATGCAGCTTATAAAAAACTTGAAAATCACATCTTGCACGCTTTTTGTTTAGAGCTGTTCAAGTTTTTGATCCACGATTTTTATCGAGACATTTAATCGAGACATTTATTCTTATCAAATTATTAGAGAACTAAATTGAACGAATTTTGGCTCTTTAGAAAAAATAGTACGTAATTACATTTGGTTGCCAATCTCTTCCTGCGCGGTAGAAAAATTTTAGATGATGATAGACAAAATTTAAGTCCAGAATCACTTAAATTTCCTATTATGATGTATTTTAACCAAAATAACAAAAATTTGAGATTTGATATCGGAATTTTTTCGGGTCTCTACCTCTACCGTGCTAATAAAAATGTGGCGTAATTAGGGACTGTCCTATCTTATATTAATCATGTGATACATACACATGATAATATAAATTGATTGATAAAATTTTCAGATGAAAAAGTTCTTAAAATGATGTCTAACACTTCTGTAAGTAATAGCAGTAGTATCGTTAATGATGTAGAGCAAAAGATTAGTGATAGATTCTGGTCCTCTAATCAAAGGCATAAATGTTCGAGCATTCGCAGAAAAAATTTACACTATACCAGAAGTTATTTCTGAAATTCGAGATAAACATTCTCGTGATTTTTTAAATCAAATTTCATTTGATCTTCAGATTAAAGTACCTTCAGACGAGGCATTAAGAGAAGGTTTTTATTTATGATATTCAATTATGAAAAAATATTTTTTTTTTTTTTTGAAAAAAATAAATAAATAAATATATTTAATATATTTTAATTTTTATTTATTTATTTTTTTTTTCAGTTGTAAATTTCTCAAAAAAAACTGGCGATTTTGCCAGTTTATCTGCTGTAGATTTGAGAGTTTTGGCATTGACTTATATGTTGGAAGTTGAGACTAATGGTACTAAACGGTTAAAAAAGGAGCCCGTCAAAGTAAATACAAACAATTAAAAATTTGGGGCAATTCTGTCACAAGTGTTAATGAATTAATCATCATAATTTAATTTTTTTTAAATCTTTTACGAAATTTGGTGGTAATAACAATAATTCCAACTAAAATTTTAAAAAGAAACCTTTAAATAAATCTGAATCGATGGAAATTATTAATAAACAGGAACAGCAGCAACGAATTGATGAACCAAATTTAGTGTCAAATTTGGAAAGTTTGAAACTCGCAGATATTACAGTTGAATTTTCAAGTTCAGAAGGAACGGATCATCAAAGAGATGCTGTTAGCAACCTTTACCAAGTTGAAAATTCTGAACAATTGAATAATATTGACTTTAATAATGATTGTTCCTTATCAAAGGATGAACCAATTGTAGAAATTTCAACGCATAAGCTGAAAGGTATAATACTTCAATACTTGTTTCAATCAAAATTCTATTAATCAAAAAAGGAATGTGCCCATCGAGACGAAGAATATGACGATGATGATATTGGATGGATAACTCCAGATAATATCGATGATTATCAAGCAAAAGAACATGAATTTCCCATCGATTTGAAGAAAGATATGTTAAAATTGCTTGTATGACAACGGATTATTCGATGCAAGTATGTAAAGTTGACTTAACTCACTTAAGACATTTTCTATGAGCATCTTATCATACATTATGTTTTATTCAAAAATAATTTTTTTTTACAAGAATATTTTGTTACAAATGCGATTAAATTTCAGTTGAGGGAAAGAGAATTAGAAAAGTGAAAAATTGGGTTCTTAGATGTCATGCTTGTTTCAAGTATTAACATATTATTATAATTGTTTGTCCTGATACCGTTTTACCCCATTTATAATTCTTTTTCTATAATACATAGAATAACTACAAATACGGAGAAAAAATTTTGTCCTAACTGTGGAAATGCAGCTTTGATTCGTACATCAACAAGTACGGACGCGAATGGTAACGTGACATATTACTTGAAAAAGAATTTTCAATATAATTTACGCGGAACCAAGGTAGTTTATTTTTTCACATCTAACAAAAAATAAAGAAAGAAAAGAAAAGTACCAAATAATTTATTATTCCTTTTAAAGTATTCAATCCCAGAACCGAAAAGTGGTCGTAATGCTAATAATATTATTCTCCGAGAAGATCAAAAGGAATACCAAAAAGCATTAAAGAACCAAAGAAAACAAAAGGAAATTGATATATTTGATCCAGATTATATTCCAAAACTTTTAATTGGAATAAGTAATTCAAATTCCATTTCCCCTGTAATCGGTTATGGTCGTAGAAAACCAAAGGGAGAAAAAAGCGATAAAAAATTTTTACAAAATGTAAAGCCCCTATAATCATATAAATCACGTCACTTATCTGCATGCACGAATTTCAGTAATAAATAAATTATTTAATTAAATTACTTTCTTCCTGATAGTTAAGTAAAAAAAGTTCATTCGATTCTACATGCTATCACAGCCATATAAATATATATATGACAGCAACATTATTTTCTATAAGAATTATTTTAATTTCTACCACATATTTTACAAATTCTTAATAAAGTAGAACAGGTAAAAATAAAGAAAAGCAATGTACAGTGAAATTTATGTTATTTAATGAATTATTTTATAAGAAATCAAAATTAAAAATAAAATAGATATCTTTTTTATAAAAAATTAAATATTAGAGAAGCTGATTTATCAAAAAAACAACAAAGATTAAGAAATGAAGATAAAAAACGTTAGAAAATAAGAAATTTATAGTTTTAACTAATGATTTTTAAATAATGCAAAATCGTATGTGCAAAATTTTCATATATAACTATTCAGATTTTCCTCACGGTCCCTTCTGTTGAAAAGAAAGAAAATAAAAAGTTCAAAAAAGTGATTTGGATCTATTTGTTGCGAATATTCTATGGCACAGGCCAAAATTTGATTTTGATGTGTAAAATACTGCATTTTTGTGAGTTTCGGCATTTTTTATTTTTGATTTGATTTTCTCTCCCCCAACTCGCCAGGGAAGTTGCCTTTCTATGAAATAAACAAATCTCTGTCCCAACGTAATGAGTGTATAACAAAGATAAATGGTTCGCTAGTTTTAATAGTATTAAGCAAGTTAGATCTTGGTGTTCATACCACTTATCTCGAGGAATGTTACTATCCACAGTATGGATTTGTTATATAGGTTATACAAAACGAGGGAGACTTTAGCAGGAAACGAAATTTACCGAATATGTCCATTTGATTTATTGACTCAACGAAAAATTATACATTTTTAACTACAACTCTAAGGATCAGAGCAATTGATTTACACAAGAGAATAATCAAAAAGTTCGTATTCGATTCGTCCATTCGTTGATAATTTGTTTATTCCGCAAATGGAAAAGCCAACATCTGCGACTCCTGCTTGGTGATGAGCCCTTTAGCAAAAAATAGGAAATTATTTAGAGCATGTTTAACAAGCCCAAAAAATTCGAAAATTCTCATACCATTGAGGAAATTCCGTAGTGATTGCTAAAGAATTTCTAAAGTGTGCAAACCATTAAAATCGACACCATCACAATATAAGGCAGACTCAAATTATTTCGTGTAACCTTGCCCTTGCGTAACCTTAATCTGATTATTTTATAATGAAAAATACAGTATTGAAAATACAATCATTGACGATATCTTCTTCAAAAATGATCAATCGAATTCTGTCCCTAGAAAGGAATTTTCAGAGCGTAAAAAAGTCTTCGGAAGAGAAAAAGTAAGTGAACATCACACAGATGGATTAAATTCTGTCTAATGTTGACACGTATGATAGTTTGCCTATACAGATAGGCTGGAATTCATCAGTGAAAAAAATCGATACCTTCTTTGAACGCCAAGATACACGCGGATATAAATTTGATATCGATTCAAGAGGAAACGTATTTATAATTGAAATGGAAAAAGATGAACGTGGATTTGTTATTAAACGACTTGAAAAATATTTTGACGTTCCCAACGGAGGTGTTGTTGATAATCCTCCGATAGATGTTGGGGGTTCTTCAGGTAAGAAAAATTCCTTTGGGTCGCTTAGTCTTGTTATCAGTTTTATAACCTTCTCATGTCCTATAAGCTCACTATCGACCACGTGGAAGAGGAGAACCGTCAGCACCTGATATTGCAATATTTCCAGGTCTGGCCATTATTCCAAAACCTCCAACTCCACCCCCACATCCACAGCGTAGATTTGCTCGTAGAGCTCCTCCAAGGATTTCCCGACATCGTGAGATTCCTCCGGTTAACAAAACGGTTGGTTCTGTACATATCAGATTTTGTTCCTAATTTTTCCTTAGTCTTATCATAAATTAATTGTATAGGGAAGACCCCACGCACGAATAATGTGCGAAATTGCAGTGTCCCAAAGGTATCAAAGTGGTAATAGGGGTCAGTATGGTTGGAATCCAAAGTGTATTCGTTGGATGCAACAACAATACGTAAGATGCGTATTTGGAGTTAAAATTTATGATCCAAGAGCTACACGAAATGCAGTCGGACAGTTGCATCGGTGCATGATTGTACGTGTTACACAGCCTATTTATTATTCAATGATTTCGAAATTTTTAAATTTTTTTCTATTTCTGATTTTAGGCCAGACTCTGGACACGTCAGGCAGCACCAATACCAGAAAGACACATAGCAGTAGCAGGACTTCCTGGAGTATATTATGAAGAGGTAAGATTAGCACGCCATTGATGTTCTTGCATTCAATTTAAATGGCAAATATCTAATATATAATATAAACTTACCAAATTTTTATAGTGGAATTTCGGTACTCACGATTATTACACTGGTGCTCTTACTGCTTGCATAGGGTCAGGTCTTATTAATTATCAAGTTAATATCCCGGTTCAAGAAGTATTTTGGAACCCGTCTATCATCGGAGGATCTCCTTCCATAGCCGGGTATGTCATCGCAGTCCCTGGTGTTGTCACTGCTCCTAACTTCATTATAGATTTATATCAAATCCAACAAGTGGTTTTACAAAATCAGGAAAATTAGACAATAAGTTTAAAATAGGCAATTTCCTAAACAAATCGTACTCAAAAATTAAGCTGTAACACAGAAAATCGGTTGATGATTTATCATCAGCTGAGACAAAAAAAAATTTATATCTAATCAGACAAGACATAGTCGCTAAAAACCCATTTCTCCTATGAAAAATCCCTTTTCTCACTCTTCGCTTAGATAGTTAGCTGTCAGTTTAACAAAGTTTTTTTTTTTTAAATACGTATTAATAAAAAAAAGAAATTAACATAACTTAAATAAATAATTCTTTATGCCGGCATGCGTATTTGTTTATGAAGATATGCTTCAAATTTTAGAACAAATGCAATTGGAAGTATATTATCAAAAAGCTTGATCTCCAAATAAATGAATTGAAGAGAAAACAATAACTTAGAAATACAAGGAATAAAATAGTTCAGAGTAACATTTATCTATACTGGCATTCCATTGCCATTCTCGCTTGATTTGATTAGACAACGTGAATTTGCAGAAAAGATGGTTAACAATGAATGGATTAACTGTATAAAGGTTCAATCTAATGCCATTATACATTATCATAAATACTTATCACTAATGAAAGAATCAAAAAATGCTTTACTTATTCTATCAACCTGGCTTTAGCATAGGTATAATTGGTAAAATCGTGTGGTAGTGCTTCGATCTGAGTCCGGTTTATCCAGATTTTATCCGGATAAAACTGATTATTATGGTTATATCTGCAGTTTTATCTGGATTTTGACAGATTTTATTCAGATTGTAAGTTTCGGATAATTTAAAATATATTGGAAACTAATGATCAGAACTCTACAATTCATAGCTTGTTTAAAGTACTGAAATTTAAAAATAATCAGTTTTAACCCAAATTTTTTTTTAATAACTAGTTTCATCCGAATAAAATAATTATTTTATCTGAATAACAGTTTTTATCTGAATTGAAACACTACATGTCATTTCTTTCATTTTGTTTTTTTTATTAAACATAATTTTTTTTCTCTCTTAAAAATGCTAGGATATCTTGATAAGTTTTATGTGGTGTTTATTTACTTAGTTAGTTTTCATCTTTTTTTATTAACCAACAATATATTGAAATTTAAATAAAGTGTATGGTGACAAATTTCTTATTTTTTTTTAATAATTTTATTTACAATATAATAATATATGTATATACAATGTTTACTACTTATACTTTGAAGAGTAAAGTAGATGAGAAACTCAGCATGCTGCAAAGAAAAATCAGAGAATATAAGAAGCTATTTGAGAATTCAAGGCAGAAATGGTAAAGACAGGAAATAATTAATTGAATAGTACTAAGGAAAGAATAACCATTATAAATCTGGCAATTATTATATTAGAAGTAGATGATTAAAATAAAAAAGCAGAGTCAAATATTACAGACAGTTATTATAATTAACTAAATATATATTACAGCTCTAAACATTAGCATTAATAATAATTTATAAAAATATATAATAGTATAGATTTTTCATATGGAATTGTTAAAAATAACCAGCAAATTAAATAATAAATTTTAATTATTTCAATTTTTTATTTGATTGTTTAATGCATCAGTTTGAATATTCATACACTAATTTGAAATAGCAATCAAAAAGTTAGAATAAACAATACTAAAAAATACTAGGATTATGCATTTGTCAAAATAGTCTGTTTCAGTAATATTGGCAATTAATTTTATAAATAATTTGTACAATTTGCTATTAAAAATTGGTAAAGTTTCAGAATTAATTAAAAAAATTGGCCATACAAATCAATAGATATTTAAATTTACTCAAACTACTTCAATTTAGTAAGAAATCATAACAATTGGTAGTAAAAAAATTGGCAAAAGATTATAATTTTAAATGATTTTAATGCTAATTTTTAGTTAATTTGATTTTGTTTATTAAGTAAATTAATAACTTTTATTTTATTTTATTTATTTTTTTATGCATATACAAATTACATCTACTTTTATTTACTTATATACTTTAAATTAAATCTAAATCCTAAAAAAAGAATAAAACTAACAATTTAGTAAAAAAAAAAATTTATTTTGTCATCTATAAATCAAAAAGATCCAGTTAAAAAACTACAAAAAAAAGTGAAATGTTAAGTTAAAATAATAGAAAAATAAGTTTTATTTTATAACTTATCTGAAGAATCAAAAACTAAAATGAAACTAAATCTAAAAAAATAAGAAATATTAGATATCATTTCTTTAAAATAAAATTAATAAAATATTTCAAAATAAACTATTACAAAAATTACCAATTATATTATTTAGTTTGTATAGATCACCTTTTAAATTAATTTTCTAGTTATTTAAAATTATAGTAAAAAAATATATATTGATTTAAGTTTTCTGATCCATTACAATCTTCCAATAAATAAATTCTTTCCATCTAATTTTGCATCTTATGTTTAAAAATGTTTACCAAATTTTAAGCATAAGTTGATACATTTTACTATCTTCTTTTTACTAATTATAATTGGAAATTCCTAGTGATATAATAGTAATTACCAGGATAGTAAATTTTTAAAATGATTATCTACTACTAGAAATTACTAACCAGTATTCAAACAGTAGGAAAGTAAATTCTTTTAATTTCTGTAATTGATAGAATTGAACCTATAATCTTATCATAATCAGGTTATATAAAGAGTTACTTTAACAACTGCATTAAAGTTAATCAGACCTAAAAAGTACATTTTATTATTATAGTAATAATTTTTAATTCAATTTAATTTTAATTATATAAAAATATATAATTTATTATAAATATATACTAATAAATTATATAAAAATTTTATTTATGAAAATATAAAAATTTATATATTACAATTTTTATACAATTAAATATTTTGGTTTTATTATAACTAAATATTTTAAATTTACCTAATATGATAAATAATACCATTAAAGTCAAATTTAAAAATAAAAAATACTTATAAAATATATATCTAATAGTATATAATAAATTTACTTTATATACTACTATTAAATATATATAATAAATATTTTATATTTATATATATAATATTGGAGATTTCCATTTTTATGGGGTTGTTTTATAGAAAAAACAATTTACTCTTTATAGTTATTTACTAGTAATTTCTTTAAAATAGATTTTTAATCATTATCTGTTATTCTTTAGATTTTATATTGTAATCTACTCATTTTTAAAACAGTTTTCTTTTTCAATGTTTTTTTTTATACTTATTTTATATTTTCACATTTTTCTTTTTTTTTGGATATATTCCTTTATAGTTTATTCTCTTTTCTTTAAATGCTTATTGTATACATCTGCTGATCAGATAGAATACTTTTATCCATTATGACTTACTATTTATTAATACAGTACTGCTTACTGTAAGATGATTTATAAAAAAGAAATAAAAATATATTCAAATTAAACTAAAAAATTTATTAAAAATCAAGTTTTTAGCATTTAATTGAGAATTTTTAAACTCTCTTTATCTGATTCTAATCTAATTAAAACTTAAGTCCAATTCTAATTCATCAAATTCATATTACCAGATACCAGTTTTTTTTTTTAATAAAAATAAAAGGGAATAATTAAAGATAAAATTCAGATAAAATTTTTAATTAAATTGAAAATTGATTATATCAAATACTACTTATCAAATGGTTCATTTTAATAAATAAATAAATAAACATTGATTTAATTAGATTTGAAATAATTAAGGAACATAATTTTATTAATGCTGATGTTATTATCTAATAAAATCTAACAATCAAATCATGAATTTGCCTTTGATGAAACAATTATGTGTATAATAGAAACGTGAATTTCTTTAATGAAATAAATTTATATGATCAATAAGACTAACGATTTAAATGACATTTAGAAATTTGAATGTTTAGATAATCATATATTTATTTTACATAAAAAGATTTATTACTAGACTTGTATAGATCTGATATGACTTTTACTATGAAATAGTTTATTCATTTCATGGGGAGTTGGGTTTTTTCCCAAAGGGAAAAAAATATGAGGTCGGGAAATAAGTAAACGAAGATTCCCGGTCATTTATAAACTCAACTAATCACTCTAAAATGGTGATCATGAGTGACACATAGTGCGACAGGGGATTAGTTTTTAAATAACAAATAGCTGCGGAAATTGCGGGAATTCAAAGGTGAAATATTACCAATTTTTTGTTGATACTATGGGTATTAAACATTAATAATCCTCATGCATATTTGTTTTGTTTTTAGAAACAAATAGACTATAATCTATAGTATATAAGTTTAACCGGTGAATATTAGAGTAAAATCACATTAATAAATGGCATAATATTTAAAAAGTACAACAAACAGATAGCAGAAGAATAATATTGGGTAGGGGGTTGAAATATCACCAAACTGCGAAGCAGTACGGATGATATTTTAACCACCATACCGGCATACCCAATAACTGTGTTATTATGCAGACGTCCAAGATCATGTTCCATCGTAAACAACAATATAAACAAGATACTTAATCTAAATGACGTAATGCGTCAAGATATTTTGCGCAATAACAGATAAAAAATATCAGTATGTTTAAAAACGACATGATCCTATTTGGCTGCATAATGAATCCCGATTATTACCAATTTTACATTACTTTTAAGAAGTGAGAAATTGGCTAGATTAAATAACCAGTTTTTCCGGTTTTTTTTTTTTCTAACAGATCGTAACACTGTTCTAAACAGGTTTATGCATCAAAAAAAAGTCCAGATTACAATCAATAAACGTGTTATTTGTAAAAAAAAGGCTTTACTAATCACATTGTTTAATTAATAATTTTATATTACGTAATACCTTCTAAGGTTCTTTCGTTCTTTTACGTGTAACCAACTTGTCTAACCTTTTATATTTGATTTAAAAAAAAATGTGAAAAAAATGCGAGCAATCGAAACTTGGTTGAATAAATAATTCAAGAAATTTCCTTTTTTGATCATCATAAGATCATAAGATCAACACAACATAATTAATTGTATGTCACCCCCTGTTATTATTTTAACAAGTATTGTTGGGGTAGTGATATATTTAAAAAAATTTCCGATTATATATAGCAAACCTAACGGAATTTTTTTTAAAAAAAATACCCGATTATAATTGATATATAAATATATAGATTATAAGATTTTTAACGGTTTTATCCCATTAAATGATAAACGGTAT